GAGATGCCAGGGCTGGGCTTTTGTAGAGTTAAATCTGTGGATGTATAACTTCTGAATCTGAGTTTTACACGGGGAATTAGAAATAACACCCCGAGGGCATGTAGAGAAATGGGATTAAAAGGGAAGAAACAACTGTAGCAGGAGGAACTCATGTCTCACTTCTTAAAGGAGTGAGGAATCCCGTTCTGTGGATGTGCCTGGATAGATGGATGTACTTGGATACCCAAAACACTTTCAGCAAGGTGCCACACGAAACGTCCCTAGCTGCTCTTCTCCACAACATGCTTATTCCCATGGTCAGTAACAAGGCAGAAGATCGTGAAAGGACAATGTTTGGAGACGCTGGGATATGCAGTGTAGTGAAAGTGAGCACTCACTGTCAAGAGAGACATCACAGTTGGATGATAAAATGACAAAGTCAGTGTTGGTAGATGTAGTTTACACAGAGAAGCTCTATCCGCACAAAGGGGGAGTTCAGAACAGTTATCCCCACTCAGGGAAGTGGCGTGGGGGTTGACTCTGTGTTTTCTCCCTCCTCTCTCAGAGAAGATACAGTGGTGTTAAGAAGAAACAGAAAAGGGGAAGAGGAAAATCAAATGCATAGGACAGAGAAGACAAGCAAAGGAGAGAAAGTGAATTATATAATGATGTGCAGTGAGAGAAATGTTTTGGAAACAATTATTTGTAATGTTTTACAGCATGGAAACAAAGGCATATTGGTTAAAGACAGGTTAAAAATCAAATTTAAGTACTTTGCCACTCACATCTCAAGTCTGAGGAATTAATTGCCTGGGGTTGCTATGGAGGCAAAATAATCTAGAATGGGTCAAAAGCAATAAAATGCTTTTATGGAAGAGCAACCCAGCAGGGACTGCTAGGCAGAGGACATTGGTCAGAGTAAAACTAAACTAAATATTGCTCAAAACACGTAGCAGAGGAAGCATGGCTTTATGCCTACAATGCTCATCAATGTGCTCTGAGCATACCCCACTAGCCACCTTCACAGTCAGGATCCTTGCTGATTTGACTCCTACCACTCACACAATAGTTTCTATGCTCTTGTGATGCACCAGGATGAGCAAGTTGCTAAGCAAAGTCCTGGTCAAGTAGCCTGTCCTACATCTTGCTCCAAAGCAATGGCACACTGTGCAAGTATTTGGTGTGGACAGTAAAGTCAACTGGAAGATGGGAAAGTCCATATCTCAGAGATGCTGTTACAACACTCCACGGCCACTTGACATAGGCTGAAGTGAGGCTAAGAGCTGTGTGGAGAGCCTTGTTCGGGCTGAGGGCCAAATAGGTCTTTAAAACATGTTTAGGGAAGGAAACATGTCAACTACACCATAGCGTTGCCCAAGAAGAAAGCAAGCAACACAAGGGCTGCTGTTTTGTGAAAAGAGATTAAGAGCCATACTGGTCCTTAGGTCACAGGTTCATGTTCCTGAACTTCAAGTCTAAAACAAAGATGATGGCCAGAACTGGGATAACGAGAGGAAAAAGCAGAGTTGGGAGAAAGGAAGGGCTGGGAATGGAAGGAAAGAAGAATGAAAATTTCTGGTTTAGCCAGCCTGATGGGGAATTGCTGGCTAAAATCATGGGCCAAAGGCAAGCAGAGCTTCAGTGTGGGCAGAATGAGACTGGTCTGGAGCAGGTCTTAGCCTTAAGATTTGCAGCCAAGATTGTTCACATGTAAAGCACAGATGGAGATGAGGAAGGGACACAAACTCCTGTTGCAAAAACAGGGAAGCAGGTTAGGGAAGGTCTCTAAAGGATGCATTAAAGCACCAGGTATAGAGGTGGAGTTGGAGGGGACAATTAAGAAGGCATGGATTGTGAAATAAATGTCCTGCCAAGCCTCCAAGCTGAGAGGTACCTCCAGCACTTCCAGTTCTGTGGATTACAGATCCTTCTTAGTTCCTGCCTTCCTTGGTGCTGGCTCTGCCCAGCTCCCCACATCTGAGCTTCTCTTCCTAGCCCTCCACCCTGAGCTCAGCTGAAGTCCCATGGGGCATGAAATACAGTGCTCAGGGGATCTCAGGCCCCCTTCCTCGTGCTGCCCCTGCTCACGTAGCCTGATGCAGCCTGGTATTTGCCTTTTGTGTGAGTACATCCCGTTCAGTTCATCACACGCAGCTGAACTATAACATGATATAACATGAATGGCCTTCCCACTCTGGCTTACACAATTTGATCTATGATTTATCTAAGATAACTGAGTGCCACAAGGCAAGCTGCTGCCATAGGAAATGAGGTAGGACTGCTTGTGTAGCTCTTCCTCTTCAATGGAGAATCATCTCATGAAATCTTAGAATGGTTTAGGTTGGAAAGGCCCTTAAAGCTCACCCAGTTCCAACCCCTGCTATGGGCAGGGACACCTTCCACTACAGCAGGTTGCTCCAAGCCCTGTGCAACCCGGACTTGAACACTGCCAGGGATGGGGCAGCCACAGCCTCTCTGGGCACCCTGTGCCAGTGCCTCAGCACCCTCACAGGGAAGAGCTTCTTCACAACATCTGATCTGAGCCCCTTCCAGTCTAAACCCATTCCCCCTTGCCCTGTCCCTACAGGCCCTTGTAAAAAGCCTCTCTCCAGGTTTCCTGTACCCACCTTTGGGCACTGGAAGCTGCTCTAAGGTCTGCCTGGAACCTTCTCTTCTCCAGGCTGAACAACCCCAGGCTGTCTTCATTGGAGAGAGAGTTTTCAGCGAGAAGATGGAAGAAATTCTTAGCATACCTCATGGTCTCACACAAGTCTGAGGCTCCAATGCCTGACTTTCACCACGAGCTGGAAGCATGCAGGCAAAGACCATGCTAGAGATGTTAAATGTGCACTTTATTCTTCAGCAGCCTATTGTATTCCCAGCTCTTCCCCACTGCTGGCACACATTTCTCCCCATGACAGCCCAGCATTAGCAAGACTACTCTCCAGAAGCTTGGCTAGACCTCACATATAGGCAGAGCATTGAGAGAACACTGAAGAAATCATTCCAATACCTCTTGTTCTGCATAACCTCCTTAACTAGCTTCTCTTCCCTTGGTTCCCTCTTGCCATGTCACAGCAAGAGCAGCAGCAGAAACCTGACCTGCCAGCCCAGGCGTGCTGCCTGGGTTCGTGCCAGGCTCCCGGCTGTTCACACTGCAATCCAGCTTCCCACCCATTAAATCAGGGAAAAATACCTGTGATTGCTTGCCAGGAGATGTGCCATCCGCATGCACCAGTGTCCTGATCCTCCCCTGATGTTGCTTTCCCCCATGTCAATGTGAGCTAAAGGTACTGGAGGCAGCTGCTGTGGGAAAGCTCTTCATCATCCTTCTTGGTTCAGTGTTATCCCTGCCAGGCTACAGGAGCAAACACTGGTTTGCAGCTGGGTCTTTGCCCTGGGCTTGCACCATGCTCCGTGACACAGGAATGAGGAAAGTGTTACAGGGCAGCCCCGTTACTAAAATGCATTTCTCATACGTGCATTAGTGAGTTCTAACAAATGTTTTGGCCATGAAGTAGTTCTACATGCTACCCAGAGAGCAGGCTTTCCAGCTGCCCAGCCATGGAGGAAGCCAAGGAGAACACTGGCACAGAGGCCAAGGCTGCCCAGCAAAATATCTCTAGCCTTGGCCAGGAAGACTGCAACCAGCAGCCTTTGACTGCCTGGACCGGTTCTGTCCTGCACAGCCTTAAAGCAGCTGCCAAAACCCAGCATGAGGAAGAGAAAAGGTGTGTTACTGCAAGGCAGTGCTGGGGAGAGCCAGGACATCAGGCTGAAACAGCCACTGCTTCCCTGTCTGGTGCCCAGCAGTGCTGCCTTCTGATCTAGGGCAGCTCAGCACTACTGCTCCACAGAGCACAGGGGGAGAGAAATACCCCTACTGTAAAAGGCAGTGCGGAGACATGGCCACAAGCATCCTGCATCACATTAATAGCTCTCTCTGGCCACGGTGCTAACCCACGTCCCCTGGACTGAGCAGTGTAGAGGAACGTGCAGGGAAGTGCTGAGCCAGAGGAAGCTCAGCACAGGATGTACAGGGCAGGTCTCACCACAGTGTACACAGGTAGATGAGACCGCTGTGGGAAAAGAACACTGTACACTTGTACACTGGGATTACTGGCCCATGAGCCTTCAGCTTCTCCAGGGAGACACCTCATGTGCTCCTGTGCCTGCCCTCAGTGTTAGCCGCTCTCCTCCATTTGCAGTCTGTGGCTGAATTGTGTGCAGGTAATAGGAACAAAGAAAACACTCAGCTTCTCCTTATAGAGAGAAAAGAGATGTATTTTAAAAGGTAGAAAATATGTATCAAGGCTTGGACCATACAGGACCATGCCACTTCTTGTTTAGTCTGGAGAAGAGAAGGTTCAATGGGGACCTTATCACTCTCTACAGCTATCTGAAATGAGGGTGTAGTGAGGTGGAGTCGGTCTCTTCTTGCAGGTGACAAGTGACAGGACAAGATGAAACGGCCTCAAGCTGTGCCAGGGGAGGTTTAGACTGGATATTAGGGAAAATCTCCTAATTGGAAGGGTGCTCAGGCATTGGAACAGGCTGCCCAGGGAGTGGTAGAATCACTGCCCCTGGAAATGTTCACAAACTGTGGAGACAAGGCTCTTAGGGACATGGTTTAGTGGTGGCCTTGGCAGTGCTGGGGTAAAGGTTGGACTTGATGATCTTAAAGGTGTTTTCCAACCTGGTTAATTCTACTATTCTATGATTCTACCTTCAGTGCAAAGTAGTATGTTTCCCAGCCCAGGCATGTACTGATTCCAATTAGGATGAACAACAGGGTTTCACCAATTATTCCTGACTTGGCTTTGGATAGGAACTGGGGAGCAGTATACCAGCACGCTGACACAAGGGCAGGACATTCCCTTAGCAGAAGGACCTTCTTGGCCCTTGTCTGAGCTCCTATTCAAGTGCTCCTGCACTCAACAGAAAGGACACACCAGTTCCATTCTCTACTTCCCAACCCCAGCTTCCCGTGCCACCCAGAACAGAAGATACACAAGACCAAATCAGAGTCAGTGGACTTTAAGAGGTAGGAAATTAGTACACGTGCCTTTCAGAAAACAGGCAATTATAAGATATCCAGTTTGCGACTATTAACAGCGCAAGGCGAGGGGTCTCCAGGTACACAGAAGTATTGACATGCAGACTGTCAGGCACTGGAATCTGTGCCGAGTGTGATTGTTCCCATTCTTTCCCCTCTGGCAGAATGAGTCTGGTTCAGATATTGCAGCCTCAGCCACTGAGATCAGATGAGTGCTGATGAAAGTTAATTTCTGCAGCAGTCCTGTCTAAAGGCACAGGGCCAGCTGGGTGCAGAAAATAAACCAAAAAGACAGAAAAAAGGCTGCTGTATGTCTGGATATGTTCACCTTGATTGCCAAGGCCCAGCAGCACCAGAAGAGGGTAGGGCTAAGCCTCTTGGACCTGCAAGAAAGTCAAGAAACACAACTCAATGGAAGACATAAACAGAGGGTTCCACCCAGCAATCTCAGTACAACGTGCTTGAAGTTATCCCACATGCTTTGCCTTTCTTCTGCCTAACCTCAGACACAAGGAGCATCCCCTGGGTACATTCACTACCGATGTACAGGAATGAAGAGATTGAATCAAATGCTTCAGGGAGAGGATTTTCTCAGCCATTAAGAGGAAGGTAAGACAAGTACCAGCTAAAAAGCTTTGCTCCAACATGAATTCATGGGAATGGAATCATGCAGGGAGCTCAGCAATCCCGCTGCTAACCCTGCAGTGGGTCTGCAGCCAACAGCATGATTTGATCCCTCTCCACTCCTCAGCCGACACAATTCCAGATTTTTTCTGAGGTATACAACAGCACCAACACTGCTTCCTCCCGCCTTTAGCAACTGAATGGGACAGGGATTTACAGACTGGCTGTACAGGGGAGTTGTGCACCCACCAGATGCTTCAGACAGTTAATGCCAACTGTGTCACAAGGCTCACTCCATGTACTCCTATAACTCACCCAGTACATTACAGCCTCAATAACCATCTGTGTTTCCAGCTGCTGAGACCTTGTTTAAAGTCCTCACAGCCTTGCCTTTGGCTCCTTGCCTCTGCTTCCTACCTCCAGGGCTCTCTGCCCAGCACCCAATTCTGATACATGAATATCACCACAACATTAAGCCAGTGCAGCTGACTATTGTAGTGTGCAGTAGGCCTTCTGATATTACTTGTTCTTCCAGTCCCAGGCCTCTTAACAAAGGGTGAGCTCCCTCCAGCAGGCTCATTACTGTACTGCAAGCACACTGTGCACCACAAGTGCTGGGAACCCAACCTTACACTCACGTTTTCCATCTTCCCTGGTCTCTTTGCAGCCCCAGAATGGAAGCTGGCTGCTGCCCTTTATTATTCCTGCTCTATTTCCAAGTAGCTGGTGGCCAAAAGATGCTCCAGGTGGAGCAGGAAGGGAAGAACCCCTTTGCTCCTCCGTTTCCCAGGGAAGCTGCAACCGCCGTCTGCCCTCCCATGTGCTGTTTCCTCTTACCGTGTCACTTAGGCTCTCCAACCTCCATGCAAACAGCTCTATTGCACTTCCGCACAGATGTGTTCAAGGAAGAGGAAGACAACTGCAGTGAGAAGCAAAGAGAAAGCATCAGGGAAGCGATGACTGGCATGCTGGCCACATCACATTCCCTTGTGCACTTTTCTTTGGACATCTCAGTGAGCCTCCCCCAGGGTCTCCCCCAGCCTGTTACTTTCAATGAACAGTGCCTTGATCCCAAGACCCCCAAGTAAAACCTGTGACCCAGGAGCTGGGAAACCAAGCACTACTTGTGGAAGCCTCCTCTCTCCTGCCCATGGGTAAGGCAGCTCCAGATGCCCAGGTGGCTATGGGTGCCAAGGCTTGGCAGAGGATATGCCCCTGCTCACCTGCTGGATTTCCTGCATCACCAGCTGTATGGAAGAGTGAAGGCGAGGGAGGGCTCGTTCGCTGGCTTTCTCCTTGCCTAAGCTTGGCTTTGTCCTGGTCTTGTCAAAGCTCTGCTCTTTTGGCCAATTCTTAGTCCTCCTGAGCCACATGCTTTTGAGAGCTGCCACTGATCCAGGTATGCTGGTAGAAGACCTGGAAGGGCAGGGCTGCTCCTCTGGAGGGGTCTCCCTCTTGGCTGCTGTTTCAATCAGTGTGGAGGACTCCAGATCTTCATGATCCAAACTCTCACTACTTTTCTGAGGGAAGGAAGAGTGAATTCAACAGTGGCTTGCATACCCTCCACACCCCACAAACAGCACAACCAAGAAGAATACTCAGCTGTGCCCACCGCTGACATTCAGAGGATATCATCCACCCTCCAGAGCCTCTCCCCCACTCCAGGAGTCCCCAGTGCCCCAGTGTTTCCTGGTCCATGCAGAAGAGGTCAAGCCACTCGGCCAGAATGGGAACCTCACAATGGGAGCACAAAAAAAGAGATGCTGCTGCAGTGACTCTATTTGCTCAGGGCACAGTCCATGCCCCATTTTCCAGCTGCAGATCCTCAGCATTCACCTGGCCACAGGGAACAGTCAGTTTTTCCATGAAGGGCTGGATGCCCACAGCCTGGTGATACCGAACCAGCTCGGTGAGCGAGGCATGAGCCTGGTCTTCCCCCAGGATGACATAGCGTGCATTGGGCTGCATCTCAATCAGGTAGTGTCTGCAGCGGTTCTCGCCCCTGGGAAGATGGACAGACAGAAATAAGCATGGCAGGGGACCATGTCTATCCAGGACCCAGTTATTCTTCTCTGCACTTGTTGTCTCAAGACACCAGATGTGATCAGGAGTCACAGTAATAAATATCACAGAAGTGCAGGAAATGCACTGTGCTGGAGTGTCACAGGCTGTGTTAGTAGGGGCTGGAGGAATGGTAACTCCCCCAAAGTCAGTGACAGGAAACCCACAGTAGACAGATCCAAACCCCAGCAGACTATTGCCTCCCATGTCTGTTGCCCATATCAGAACTCTGCCTTAGACCTTGCCTGAGGCTGTACGAAGGCCATGCTCTTGTATCACTCCGATTGCCTCTCCTCAGGCCCTGCTCTAGACTCATCTTCTCTGCTTCAATCAAAGCTTCTTCCAACCTGGTATGCCCACTCAGCCATACAGCACAGCCTAAACACGACTGCGTTCTTGGAGTCACAGCACCCCACCCCACAGATCTAGTTTCTGGAAAGAGGCAGACTCCACAGCATTTGTCTGCGACTCCAAATTGTCTGAGGCACTCACAACAGGAGAGGCTGAGCACCATCCTCACTGTATTCCTCTGCAGTGGAGGTAATCTCCCCCAGCCATGCACAGCTCAGTTTCATAGAATCATTTAGATCAGAAAAGACCTTTAAGATTGAGTCCACTCGTTAACCCAGCACTGCCAAGTCCACCACTATATCATGTCCCTATGTGCCACATCTACATGTCTTTAAATGCGTCCAGGAATGGTGATGCCACCACTGCCCTGGGCAGCTTGTTCCAATGCTTGACAGCCCTTTCATTAAGAGATTTTTTCCTAATATCCAATCTAAACCTCCCCTGGAGCAACTTGAGGACATTTCCTCTTGTCCTGTCATTTGTTACCTGGGAGAAGAGACTGACGCTCACCTCACTACAACCTCCTTCCAAGTAGTTGTAGGGTGTGCCAAGGTCTCCCCTCAGCCTTTTGTCCAAGGCTCACCACCTACCTGTATGTTAGGGTGTAGCCTGGTCGGCTCTGGCTGATCCGAACAAGGAAGCAACCCAAAGGTTTTTCATTCAGCAGGTTTTCAGCTTCCCTGGAAGCAGAAAAGATATTCTCAGCAGACAGGGAGCAGCTGCCTCTGTGCAGGGATTCCCATCCTATCTCCCATGTCACCATGGTGGTGCTCCCAGGCAACAGAGGTCAGCATCTGCCAGCCATGTTCCTAGCTTGGAAGAGGTTCCTAGATTTCCTCAGACTTGGTGATGCTGGAAGGCATCAGCAGGCTGAGAAGGCACATTACTCTCAGCCAAAGCCTCTCCAAGCAGGGCTGCTCCAAACCTGTTCCAGCAGTCTGACTACTGCAACAGCAACAGAGCACATTACAAAGCATCACTGGGATGATAAGGCTGTGCACATGTGTATTTCCTGTGCTCCAGGGATGACAAAAGAAGTCAGGATGCTGTGGGGTAGTGATGCTCAGTGCAAGGTAAGCCCAGTGCCTTGGAAAACCAACAACTTGGATTACACCACTTTGGCTCTCTAAAACTTCCTGCTGGAAGGAGGTCTTCCCCCTCTCTGCCCAATAAAGCACAGCTTTGTGCTTGCCATGTGCCTTGCTTCAGGCTAAAAGTGACTGCAAACCTCCAGTGCAATTTGGGATTGCTCTGGCTGCTTTGCTACATGAGGCTGAGCTTACACTGCTGTATGGAGACTTAAATCCAGCAACAGCAAGCACCACTTAGAACATATCTAATCTTCAATATTTTTTGAAGTATCTGCTATGTCCTTCATCGTGAAGTGCTCATAGCTAGCCTATATTTGAATTCAGACAGTTTTGTCTTCCAGGCACTTGTTTTTCTCCTGCATTCTTGGATCTGCAGACAAAACGCATTAACGCAAGCAGAAGCCTTGATAATTATCTTAAAAAAGATAAAAATGCATGCATCAACCAGGCACTTTTCAGCTACTGTACTGTCCTTTATTCAGCTGACCTGCTATGACTAGCATAGTCTTCAAGTAACGTTCATACTGATAAGCTGAAAAAATCCAGTAAATCATGATCTAGTAAGAATCAAGGAGACTTGTAGCTTTAACAGAAAAAAGTTACAAACTGGAACAAGATGCTAAGATACTAAGGGTGTCCGAATGACAGGCACCCTTGGCAGCAATGTCCCCACACAAGGCCCACCAACTAAGGGACACTGGTAGTTAGCAGGTAGGCAGCACTACAGATTAGTGCTGCACAGGGGGAGGCTGCATACAGGGGAGACTGTGGCCAGAAATTCTGATGTCTATCAAACCCCACTGCCTTGCTCCTACCCAATCACTGGCATAACCAGCATTTCTCTGATTATCACACTGCTTGGAAAGTAGTGCTTGGTTCAGCCAAGAGTGAAGTGTGAGGCATAACCACACAGGTAGAAAACTTCAAGCATTTAAATAAAGGTTTTCCAAAAAAAGCTTGAGAGTTCACAGCCTTGTAAACAACTCCATAGGAAAGTAGGGCTTTGTGGATGTCTCTCTCTGCCTAAGGGGATAAATTCTACCTATGCAGCACCCTTCTTAGATGGGCAAAGGTACCAAAAAAAACCCCTTTAATTTTCCCATATCTGGGGGCTTTGGAGGAATCTTGTTATTGATTACTCACTAAAGCCCTTATTAATACTTTTTTCCATAGAATCATGGAACGGTTTAGGTTGGAAGGGACCTTAAAGATGATGCATTTAGTTCCAACCCCCTCCACAGGGATGGACACCTTCCACTAGATCAGATTGCTCCAAGCCCCACCCAACCTGCCCTGTACACTGAATTCTGTATTCTCTGGCTATCAACTCACGTCTCCTTCTGACCTAAACTGAGAGATTAATTTATAGGGTAAATTTCATGTGTGTGTTTCCTCTTCAAGTACTTTCCAAGCTTCCCTTCCTTGCATGGGATCTGTATTTAGGAACCCAGAGGGCACTTATTTCTTATGAGTTTCCACAATCTTCCCCTGGGCCCATGTAAAATTTCAGCATCTGCATCTTGTGACTGGGAGCTCCAAGCTTCTCTCTAAGGGTTTGAAGCTCACAGCCTGAAAGTGAAAAGTTAAGCAGCTCACTCCTACTCCTTAAGGAGGCAAATTCTGGCAAATCCAACCTATGCAGTCCTCCTAAGGACACAGCAGTTTCTGCCTGCATGCCACAGCCCAAACTGCAGCCACTGTATCCAGAGTGCTCACCTCCGGCTGATCATCCCATGCAGCCAGCTTGGAAAGGCTCCATCATCCTGCATGACCTTCTGGGCCTGTGTCTCTTTGAACCAGCGGAGAGTTGCTCCTCTCTTGAGTTCCCTCATTTTTGCCTCTTCTCCAATCTGTCCCTCTGTCCCCAGAACTGGTCGAGGTGCAGAAGGGCCCAAGAAGTTATCAAAAGGAGTGGACTGAAAGTGGGGAGACAGGGAAAATGGCCATGAAAGCAAGGTCAAAGGCAGGGGACCTCTGACAGGATCACTTTAGTAGTGATCTCATTCTCAAGTCCCTGAAGACAAGAGCAGCTGCAAACTACAAAACGTTGCTTTCAGTTCCTCAAAGGTCCTGACCACACTTTTTAACTAACCACAGCAGGAAAGAACTCTTTCATGTCTTATAACAAGAATGGGACTTCTTCTCCTGGAGTTCATGCAGGAGAATATGTGCATGCAGAAGGTGGAAGGAGCAGGGAACCAGCACACTTGGCTAAGGAGCCCCAAGCAGAGCCAGTATCACTACCTCTGTTAGTTTGCTGCGTGGCCGTGGCACTGGTGGCTGTGGTGGATTATCAGAATAATGGGGACAAGACTGAGGGCACCTCTTTCTTGGCTTGGGGACTGGAAAGGAGATTCTTTCTGCAACAAGAGGAAAGAATTTGATGAAAACTAGTTCCATGATGCATGAGATCCATCTCCATGTGCCCAGGATATGGACAGGCTCTGCTGCATGGAGTAGGTGGGAGACACAGCTTGGCAAATGACCTTCACCACGCTGTTTTTGCTCCCCACGGAGAACACACACTTTCAAATGGCAGAAACACTGGCACCTCACTCCCACCACACCATTGGAGCCCCAGCTCCAGGAGATCCGAGGACAGGCCATCATAACCTGAAGCTTAGAGCACTTCAAGGTGACCATTGCATGAGTGGCCATGCATGGGGCAGCAGGAGAGGGAGCAACTCACTCTGGGCCTTTGCTTCCAGTGCCAGCTGCCAGCTTCTTTTTCTCTCTTCCTCTTCCTGTAGCAGCTGTGCCTTAGCTCTCAGCTCAGCCACCACTTTTAGGTAACTCTTCCTGCACCTGAATCCCCTGAAAGCTGTTCAGAGAAAAACTGTGGTTAGAAAAAAAAAAAACAAAAAAACCAAAAGCTGTTCATGCCTTTGTCACTCCCTGGGGGAAGCACATCAGGTGATACTCCTTTTTACCCTGTGCAAAGCCCTCAACACTTGAATCACATTACTAAAGAGCAATGAAAACTCTACTGTGAGCAGGCAGTCAAAACCATGTGAGAACTGTCTTCTACTCTCTAAACTGCCAGATTATGGATTTAAAGAAATCAGATTTCAGATCTGAGCTCTCATCTCTAATCCCAAGACACTAAATAGCTAAAAAACAAACAAAGTATCACAGGATCTCTGTTATCCATCAACCTCCCTGGTACCCTCCAGACACTATGAAGGTGACAGGATTTCCTTGATGTCAGCCCACAGGAAAACCTTGTCCATAAACAGCCACCACGGGTTCATTAGGATCATTACAGACATTGCAATATCCCACATACTCTACCAGGTTCTAAAGCACATGAACCTTAGAGCAGCATCCTCTCATTTCCCACTACCCACACATCTTCCTCACTGATGAGAACAAGGAGGCACAGCATGTGACAGTCTGATGTTTGTCATACTATATGGTGCATAGCTGGAAGCTGCTCAGATGTTTCAGCAGTGCAATAACCCATATAGAAGTACAACAGAGAGACCAGGCAGGATCACAGCCTTCTCCTGGGAGCACAGACCTCTCAGAACCTCTGCAGAGGGAAGTACCAAACTGCCTACAGTGCATGCTCTGGAGAAAGAGGCTACCAGACAAGATGCTACCTAGAAAGGAAGGAAAAAAAACAACCCAAAGCAACCCAAAACTTCATCCCCTTCTGCCTGTTTCTATAAGCAGGAATGAGATCAGCTTCACTCACCATCTCTTCCCACTCCTCAGTTCAACACCACTCACAAACAAACCCTCACTCCAGAGGACAGTTAGCCAGATCTTGGGATGCAGACAAATCATACACTTGCCCTGAGCAGCTCAGCTGTCCTGGGCACATGCTTTGCCTTTCCAAGGCTCATGCTGTCTGATGGTTCTCTCAAGTTGAGGATGAGTACTGAGGAGGTGGGCATCTGCAATAAGTACCCTGACTGCACAGGGCCTTGACATGGAGATGGTGCCTGGCCTGCCTTTCTGTTACCTGGAAAGGTGCAAGGGTGGAGCATGGACTGGATCTTTGCCCTGGGTCTACATCAGAGCTGAGGGACTCCCCTTCTCTCACCTTTCTGTATGACAATTGCTGCTCTTTCCAGTTGCTCCACACACTTTACCATCTGTTCCTGATGCCAATATTTAAAGAAAAGTCGTGACTTTCTGTGAAGTTGGGGAGAGAAAGAAGCAGTGAGAAACACTGTTAGTCTAAGCTTGCACCCATCATCCTTCTGCAGGCCTTTCTATAGCCATAGAATTCTCCCTGAAAGGGGTAAGGTAACAGTCTACATGTATAAAGCCTCTGCCAGGCCCCCTTTCCCCAGCAACACTGATCTACACCTACCCACATATCCAGCCTGTCAGCTCTGTACTTTGCAGTATCTCCAAGCAGCTAAAAGAAAAGAAAAAAGTGAAATACATAATTTTCAACCTAAAGTTAACACCATGCAGCCAGTGGTTTTAGGTGCATGAAGTGGGAGAAAGCGTCTCAACAATTCTACATTCCATTCTCTGGCCCCTGTCACATTCAGTAACTGCCTGTCAATCCATAGCACTCCTTGAGGAGCAGGTAGGATCACATTTGGGAACATCAGCAAAGGGGTGCCCGGAGGCAGATTTCCTTCAGCTCCCTGGCAGGCACTTCTGCAGAGCCTATTTTATTCTCAGAACTGCTCTTCCTTATTTCGTTTCCAAGCTCTTTGCAGCACACAAAAGTTGCAAGGTCAGCACAACAAGACTTCCAGGAGAAAGCCTGTTTTTCAACTCCAGTTTCATTTTGCAGACTCTAGTGATAAAATTTGGGTCATTCGGAAAGATTCCCCAACACTAAGAACTGAAAGCAGCATTCTAGCTGCACCATAAAGACAGCTTCCTCTCTCTTTCTGCCAATCCAGACTGTGAAATCATAGTGACACGTTCTGCTAATATCTTGCATAGCAAAGCAGAATCAGCCAGTTTCCGCTGTGCTACAATCTATACCCACAGTGATTCTTTTCTCACACGAATCCTATGATTCTTGTGTCTGAAAAAACACCATACTGCCTGTTTATCATCATCTCCCTCTCCTCTATGAGATTCTCCCTTGACCTCATTCAAGTCTGCAGCTCTTATTAATTCAAAATCATCAGTAATTTCAAGGAAGCACTGTGAAGGCTGAAGGAGCTACCGCCAGGAGAGGTCTGTTCCAGGAGAACATTCAAATCCTTTTCTTAAAAGACTTTAAAATCCCCTCAGCTGGCTGCATTACATGCTTTGTTCTATCAGTCACAGTTGACCACGGCAGGAAGGAGGGACTGGGAAAGTGGAGGAGATGGGGAGTTGTTGCCCTAGATGTATGAAGGAAAAAGCTGACAGGGTAAGACTGTAGAGCTGGAGGGACATTTCTGTGTCAGGTTCTGAAAGTGCTAAGGGTATATTATACCTGTACACATAAAAAAATTCTTGGACCAGAAATCTGCTCCTCAGCCTGAGAGACACTCAGTGCTGCTGGCTTGCTCAGCATTGTCTTATCATCATCTTCTCCCATGAGACCACCAGAGAAAAAAAAGCATGGAGAAGCACCTGGCAACTGTTCTGGGCCTCCACCTTATTGATTTCACTGCACACCCTTGGTTGTTATTGTGACTCCCTAAATGGAGTATGCTAGTAGTTCTCATTCCACAGGATAGCAAGGCTTTATAGCAATTGAATTTCTACACAGTAGTTCAAGAAAAATTTAATTCATCATTGTATCAAATGCTTTTTAAACACTAACTGTCCTTGCTTAGAGATATGTACTCCCCATCACCACAAAAACTCACCCTCAGTTTGTTCCTTTTACTCAGTTTGCTATGCTACTCTAAGAGCAATAGTCTCTGAAGAACAAACCGAACTGTACATAACAAAGAAAGGGTTCTTACCTTTCTTTTGTGAGGGAAACATCTGGTTTAAGCAGAAGAATTGCATATCTGTGAAAAACAAACCAATACAGCTAGGTAACAGCTACATCCTTGATGTGCTGAGCGGATCCATGCCACAGCAAACAAATCACTGTCATTCTCACTCAGCCTCCTACTGCAAACAAACCCATGATCTCAGGCACGTGAACTTTGAAAAGGCTGTTTCACTCCTTGCCCATATCTGGTTACTAGGGCTGCTTCCTTAACAATATCTAGCAAGTAACTGACAGAGGTTTTAACAAACCTTTCAGCAAATTCCTCAAATGAGGGTCTCCAGGAGAAACCATCTCTTCGGATACGGATTGTCTCCAGCAATCCATTGTACCGGAGCTGAAGCAGCACCACAAAGAGGATCAGAGAAACAAACAGAAACAGGTCATCAGGTCATCAGCTTGTTCCTCTGCAGACAGAAATGCCTTCATTCAGCCCTAAACTTCTCTAGTTCAAACTGAAGAAGTTTCCTTCTGAAGATGTTTCTTTGGTTAAAGACTGAATTTACCACATCCTGTAACTCTGATGATTAACCACTCTCAGTTAAAAGCTGGAAACCATAAAAACCAATGACTTAAACAACTTCACCTTCTAGCCATGGGTACACTACTTTGCCTCTGTCCCTCACAGGACAGCCTTTTACTCACAATTCTGGACACAGAAGTGCCCTGAAGCATGGATGACCCTGCCTTTAATCCAACCCTTTCTTGTATATGTTAAACGGCCCACAGAGCTTTCTGAACTCTTCTAGTAACTTTCAGTATTATTTAAAGCGTCTCAGATCTGACACAATATTCAAAGACAGTCATATCAGCATATTTCAGCTCCTATCAAAGCAATTCCTTCTTGGCTCCTATTCAGAGTTGCCTTGCCTGATGGGTGAGAACAGGCTCATCTGGGAAGCATCATTTTTTCCAGAGCACTCCCTGACCCCCATCCAGGAGATGCAAAGGTGAGTCCTAGTGCCTGACAAGCAGTTCTCACCGCATTCATGAAAAAGAAATGGGAGAGAATTAAGACTGCAAAATCTGGACCTAACAGTCTGTGTCACAAAAGTAACCAAGTACCCAGAACCTCTGCATGCATAAAAAGTGTGCCTACTCTTTCAAGGCAAGACTCAGCTTCCCGCTGTCTCTGCAGCCTTTTGGTGGGGTCTGCCCTCCTCACTAAGATGTGGCAGAAGTACCCGTAAAGGCGACAGCTTTTCCTCACCTGCTGCAGCACCACCTGGCTGTCCACCACACCCGGCTCCTTCTGGCTGTTGGGCTTTATACAGCGCACAAAATGCGGGTTGGCAGAATACATCCTCTCCATGAGCACCATCAGAGAATGCTGACGAGGGCAGAGAAAGATCAACAGTGCAGCAACCCAAAGCGCTGCTGGAGCCCAGTGTGCAGTATCCTGCAGCAAGAGCTGCTTTCCCATCCCACAGCAGTTTTCCAGGCTCTTTCCCATGGTCAATCCCATCATAATCAGCTGTACCTCACACCCAGAAAAAATCCTGCCCACATGCTGGATGCTTTAACTATGTTTAGCAGCCTGGAAGGTCTGACAAAAATATCACTCATCTCAAAGGGAACTACAGGGCAGTGACACCTTACCCGGAACTGAGCCCCAGCAGACTGTTTTCGTGTGCTGTTGAACTTGTTGTCTGCTTCTGCTCTGACCTGAAACCAGATCCAAACAAAAGAGCACCCCTACAACAAATGCTTGATTGCCACCCAAAGAGCCCTGCTAGAAGGCAGATGGCAGAAAGGAGAGGGAATGGATTTCAGGAGGGGGAATACAAGTTACACACATCAGCAGAAGCAAGCAGTAAGTGCAGTAAAATACAACAGAGTGATTGCTATCTGCTCTTAGTTTCAAACAATTTCTGTCTGCTCTCATTTTGAGCCAGTTTCTCAAATAATAAATGTCTGGTAACTATGCCATCATTTATCAATTGCTATGTGGATCTGGAGCACAATACCTTGGCTTTCACATGAGGCATTAGTGTCCCCGTCCTGGAGATAGTGGCTGGAAGAATAGAGACAGTAGTTATTTTTGTACCTTTTCTCACAATCAACCAGTCTAAACATTAAAACCTCATTTCACAAACAAGTCTCCCTACAAATACCAAATCACAAACAGGGCATTAGATTTCACCATGTGGGAATACCAGGAAAGAGGTAAAGAAAGGGAGAAGAAAATGCAAATGTATGAATACAATGCAGACAGTATTATTTGCTGCCACAGAGAAGACAAGGCAATCAGGTAATTGAACAACCTTTCATGACCCTCAAAAGGAATATCATCAGGAGGAATCTAGCAGGGCAGAAAAACAGTACAGATAGCAAATAGGAAGCCTACTTACCACAGTCAATACAGCAGGTTATATAAAATCAGATAGCTGAAAACTAATTTCAGTGACAAGATGAAAAATTCAGGGAAGTTGAATTTACTGAAGGATCTAATGACATTCTTGCCCTCCCTTAGTGCAATGGTCTCAGAACCACAGAATGGCTGAGGTTGAAAGGGACCTGTGGAGGTCATCTGGGCCAACCCCTTTGCTCAGCAGGTCCACCTAGACCCAGCTGTCCAGGACTGGACAACTAACGTGAGAACAGGTTCGAGCTTTCAAAGAGCTGGGACTAGACTAAGTATCTTCAGTAACAGTATGGAAGCGATAATGGAAGAACGACACTCCTGAGCAGAAAAGCTGCAAAACACAGCGGAGAACAGAAATTAAACAGTTACTTGTAAATACCACAAAGTGGCATGAACAGAAAAACAAAAATCTGCACCAAAAAGCACCATGTTCAGCCAGACAAACTTCAGGGAAGCATCCACCTTGTTGCTCTTTAAATGTTTACTTTCATAGAAGTCTTGGAGACTCTGTGGGCTTACCAGTAACTGGTAAAAAAGGAGTGCAATGGTGGGGGAGAAATAATGCATGACCTCAAAGTTTTTCAACAAGTTTTACCTGGAAAACAAAATGTGTTTGAAAAGGATAATCTTTACAGCCATTGTGGCTTTACTTGCCTTCTATTTTCAGTGAATATCTAGAATCTATGACCATGTCCATTTCAAGACTTCTGCAGCTTTCCTGAGGCTGCCAGCTGTGAAACATGTTCCTAGCACACAAGCCTTGTTCCCACATTTAGCTGTTGCAAAGATCATCCTTGATTCATGTGGGATGCTCTATCATAGCAGAAGGACTTACCTTTAAACAGGACACTGAGCAAGGGGGTGATGCTGTTGATGAAGAGTCCACGGACATTGGCTGGCAAGGTGTCTCTGTTCTTCTCTAGAAAGCCCTCAGCAGTGTATTGTACCTAGAAAGAAGGGCAGCAAGTCACTAAGGCCAGCAATGCTCACACGCTTGCTGTGAATGCCCATCTCCAGATCTTGCCCAGAGCAGCTGTTAAACTGAATGTACAGTAGCTTGCAAGTGAATTCTGTACATTGGCTCACAAGTGAATTTTGTAAATGCGTATGCACCCCATTCAGATGCAAATCCTGATGAACGAAAGGCTGCGGATGGCACTGAGGCATGAGAACAACAGGAGTGCAGCATAACACTGAGACATCCGCCTCTTCTTGTTCTCTTTTCCTTCACTATGAAGTTCCATTTACTTTTCATTTATGCTTCAATTATTTTCCTTGCTCTCACCCTCCTCCCTTTGAATAGGCTTCCACCCTGTTGTCATGCATCCCCTTGTTTCTCTTGCTCTCTTCCTTTCTCATCTCCAGCTTCCCACTCTCCTTTCTGTATTAGTTATTAATTTTTGTAATGAAGAATGTCACAATAACTTAGTCAACAATGGTGAGATTAGATTATTAAATTGCATATTACAATGACCTTAATTGTCATGTCTGCCCCTGCTCCAAAAATTATTTACAATCAATTCAACATACTTGGGCCAATTCTTTCAGAACTGTGGAAGTAAGGTTAATGTGCAGTAGTCCTAAGCCTCAAGGACTCAAGCTGTTTAGATACCACTGAATGTATAAATTAAGTGCCTCCATTTTCAAAATATTAATTACTTGCTGCTCTTACTGTGTTCCTCAGTGTTGGCAATAAAATATAAGTGGCTGCGGTAGAACTCAACAGAGCAATAGATAAAGGTAAAGCCTTTAGACTGTCCTTTGGTGCTGTACAGTGGGTGCAAGGCTTTTATTTTATAAAGGACTGTTTTAGGACTAGAGCTCCAATAGAATGGTGACGAATACAACAGACTCTTCTAATAACCAATGCTTCCCAGTGGTAGCCCCACTTCTCTCAGGGGTCCTCTATTCCCATACATTCTAATGAAATCCCAGAGAATCCTAGAAAGGCAGCTCCCTGGGAACACATCACTTCTGCAACTATTGTTGTCAGACCATACACTCCTTAACATAAAGCCTTATTTGTCACACATATTCCCCCTTCGACATACATTACAACAGAATTCTTCCTGCAAATAGTACATACTTTTCCAGCATAGTGAATGATGCTGAAGGCCAAAACATGGCCTCGGCCTGGCTGGAAGTGTAAGTTCCCCTTGAAGCTGCTGTTTAGTTTATCCACAAATGTTTTATCAGTTGCCTGCAAGAAAGCAGATTTCATAATCAAATGGTAAGGCTGCAACAGAGACCTGATCAAAGCACACTGAATGAAAACAAAGTGTTGGAAGTGTCCTTGGCTGTGAAACAGTTTTGTGATGTAGTCCCTTCTTAACTCTTCATAGGAATGCCGATGTCATTAGATTGTTCCTGATCTGGCTGTCCTGTCCCAACAGTCACATATGAGGACACCTCTGTTCATCCTGCTCTTTAAAGTCACACCCCAGCATAAGAGCTCTCTCTGCAACTCAGATATTTAATGCTATGCCCCCCCCCCATTGTTTTCTCTGCCCCTTATCTCATGCATACCTGTGGGAATGCACTTTGCTCATCCAGAAGGGACAGGAGTCCAAGTGGCTTAGCCAGGAGAAGATCCTGTGGGAAAGCAGACATTATACACTTTAGACATTATACATGTCTAAAGCAGTACAGGGCATCCACCCTCACCTTTGAAGAGGTTCTTCCCAGGTGCATTGCCTCCCATGATTTAAAAAAAAAAAAAAAAAAAAAGCAAAAAGCAGCAAGATTCCTCTCTTGGCTGTGTAGAGCAATTCTCTTCTGTCAGTCCTCTCACTCACCAGAGTAGGTTCGTTATTGTTGAACGTGATAGTCTCCCAAGGCAGATCTTCTTCCTTATAGGCAGCCTGCTCCAGCTGGAAAATGTGCTGAAACAGAGAAAAAAGGGGTTGGAGCACGCAGAAGCCTTGGCTAGACAGCCCTTTCTTCCTGCCCTGAACAGAAGACAGATGTGTGGCTCTCTCACCTATGGCATGAGAGGCCCAAAATGGAATTGCTGTTCTGCAGGCTCATCCATAAGCCTGTCACTCACTGATGTCGGTGCATGAATAAAGCAGGAACACTTCTCAGAGTGTAAGTGTGCCCTCTCTGCCAGCTTTGCTTTTTTTTTGGTCAGTGCTTGACTCTCCTATTTCCTCCTTCCCTGCCTCAGTGGATCTCCTGCCAGAGCAGAGAAGGTTGCTGCTCTCTACACTGCTTCACTGAACACCATTCTTGTCCTTACAGGTAATAGATCTGTTTTTCCCACAAGCACTCCTTTATATACCAGATAGACCAGTGCTCTGCCTTCTCTGCCACACACGGTGAGATCATCCACGTTAGACTTACATGGTTGAAGAAGTGCTGCAGCTGCTCATTGGCCAAGTTTATGCAAAACTGTTCAAAACGATTCACTGCAAAGTTTTCAAACCCAAAAATATCCAAGATGCCTAAAAGAGGGAAGATGAGCACATCATGAAGCCTGCAGACCATCTCATATCTGCATACCTCAACACCTAACTAAATCTCCTATCACCCAGCTCTTATGGCACAGGAAAACCCCACACAAGTTACCAGCAGCACCTTTCTCTCGTAACTCTGCTTGGAGAGCTAGTTAAGAGAAGCCCTGCTCGCATCACTGTCTCCTCTGCAAAGCCAGTACCCCAGAACTAAAGCCTCACAGTTGTTTTGCACCAACCAACCACTCAGAGTTGGCTAAAGCCCTACAGACTTCATGCCACTGACTAGTATCTCCAATATGATCACATCTTTGATAATGGATCCCTGCATGCAATCTCTACAAAACCTCATATTGTGTGTTTTCCTCATTGTGGCTGAGGGATGCACATCTGAGGACACAACTGGAGCAAGGCAGGCAGAACTCACCTATCTCCCCCAGTTCCACCTCAGTATCTACGTTCTCAGCCAGCAGCTCATTGATCTTGCAAACGATCCAGCGAAATACTCGTCCATATGCCACCTTGGCAATGGAATCCCGAGCATCTGCACAGAAAGAACAGCAGCTCACTGAGGAGCTCCAAAGGAGAGCAGAAAACACAGCACACAAGCTAGCTCAATACATCCACCTCTAGAAAAAAATTCTAGTGGTTTATGAAACTATTTTAAAGATCAGATAAACATCAGGTATCTGTCTGAGTGTCCCTGACCTCTGTAAGCTCAAAAAGAGCTCTTCCATTCCAAGATCCTCACAATCTTTCTACAAAATCAGATATGGTGTACTAGGGAAATTGTGAGATCTAATCTAAAATGGAAAATCTAATATGAAATGGAAAATTTCCTTTCCAAAAATGTCCACCCACTTTTTAGAATACCCAGAGACTTGCTTTTCTCTCTGCAGGTCTAGTGAATATGGATCCCCCCACTGATAAACCAAGCAAGAGGCTCCAAGTTATACTTGGAAAACTGAAGGGTTCTGTTACTTTTTAGCCCACAGCTGACAACTCTTGAAATGCTGTGAGCAAGAGGAGGATACAACTGATGGAACATTTCCTGACATTCTAAGAGAAAGATCAAGTCAACATGACCTGCTGCATGATGGGAGATGTATGTGTAGAGAGATGCATGAGAAGACATTTGGGAAACAACTAGCTAATTCCCCAGTTTCAGTTTTTGACTTCATTTATTTTAAGCAATAGTCTAGAAATCCTAGGATTTCATGATTTTTAAACTTATATTTTAAATCTTCTTTTTAACTGAACCTTCCTGTGCAGATTATCTTGGGTTATTTTGTCACTGAAAGAAAATATAACACCTTGTGCTTGCTACTTTGACATACTCCCCTTTCATCTCCCTCTGTCTCTGATTTTGCGCTACCTTATTAGCTCTGTTATTTCTCCATCTGCTACCTAAAGCTCTGCACACTGTCACTACTCTGCAACAGGAGCCTTCCCCTCTTTTGTACCAATACCTACAGTTTCCTTCTAGGCTGGACTGAGGGAGAAAGCAAAGCTAATTGCTTGGTTTCACATTTAATGTCTGTAGTCTTCTGGAGATTAAACAAAAGCAGCTTTCATGGTCCTACAAGACAGTAGGAGACTAAATAGATAAACATTGACATACTTGTCTCTGTGCAAGAGGAATGAAGGGACACAGATAGACATCTTTGTTCCAAATAAGTTGCACATGTGTGGGAATACCCTTCCATCAGATACGGGTCAGTCTTTCTAACCAGCACATCTGCAATTCATTATGTCCCATACCTTCTGCCTGCTGCTGGGTGTGAAAACGCAGAATCTGTTCACCTCGGGTCACAGACATTGTACAAATAAGGCACTTTAACAGTTCGTCTTCTTGGACTCCAAACTGACCCTGGGAGAGAGAAAATAAATGTGGACAGTCAACAGTAAACCCTTATACTACTTGTGGGGACTGCAGCTCCTTGTATCTGTCCAACACCCTGTGTAATGGGGTCATGAGTCAAGATTCAAGATACAATAAGTATTGCTGTTAGCATCTCACAGCACTGGAGTCAGTTGTGGGCTCTGAGATCTGCACTATCCCTCCAGACACCAAACTCACTCTTGTGCTCTCTCTGAAATACTTTCTGCTTTGCTTTTCCATTGCTGCCACTTTTCACCTTCTTTGGGAGCCCCGCCAGCCCCTGCTGAGAGGCTTAATGACTTACTGAACAGCACCACACAGAGGTGACTGGGGAGATGCTCAGATGTCTGAGCTTCAGCAGACATCAGTCCGAAGAACCCACAAGAAACAGGAAACAAAGGTAACTCAAGACACAACTGAACCCTCAGTGATTGTGCTAACAGGAATTCCCCTCCTGTGGGCAAAAAACAAGGAGCAGACTTTTAAGAAGTAAGGAAAAAGTTGGCTGCAGAACAGATGTAGGTGGTTGTTTCAGGTATGGCGTAGGAGGGAAACAGGCAAAGAGATGAGAGTGAAACCAAAAGCCGAGGGTGCTGGGATTCCAAATAGGTCAAATTAAAAAGACACAGAAAATGCAGAAAAACGTTGACGTTTTTTGTTCTGTGTTGTTAACAAAGCAGGACAATGTATCCATCCATATAATAAAAATGGGATAGTCCTGGGGAATATATACTTCTTCATCTGTCATAATGTCATGTGAAAGCGTAGAAAGTTTAATTCTGGATAACCAACAAAATTTATAGCAGTCAAGGTAGTATCTTTGGACAAAATCTGTTTAAAACTCTAGAGTTCAGATACTGCACACCTGAATTTCTCCAAGGCATCATCACACTAACTAACACAGAATATCTGATTTTAAAAAGCTTGTATGAAGTCAACAAGGCATGCATGATATCACCATATGCAAGACACTGGTTCTAGACATACAAGAAATAGAAGCTGGGAACTGTCTCTTTGGGAATGAATAGTGAACACAAATGCAGACATGGGGTTATAGCATGCATTTCTAGGAAAAAGCCTTCCTTGCTCTTCAAGGGCCCTCACACACTGAGGCAGAAACATCCTCTGCCATCTCTGGCAGGAGCAGCTCCTGCAGTCACACTGCCAGTGAGAACCAGCATCATATCCATAAGGTTTCTGTCAGCTCCGCTTGTGACTCACCGCTGAAGCCTTCAGCCATCCCCGGGAGGCTTCACTCACTTTTGCAGACCCATTGCTTTCCTCAGGCTCGAAGGTCACATTTCCCAGAGACAACACACCAGCTAAGACAGCTTGCATGTCGACTTGCTCCTAAAACATAAGGGAAATGTGACTGAAAACCTACCAGCGTGTAACGTATACAACATGAAGGCTCCAAAAGTTGCAGAGGTGAGGAGAAGGCATAGGCAGCCTGTGGGAAAAGGCTCTAAACAAAGGCTGACAGACTCAAGTGGGTTTGGAAGAAACATGGAAAATCCAGAGAGGAGAGAAATAGGACTGAGCCTCAAAACAGCAGCCAGAAACACTGTGCCTGCAGGAAGCACAGATGGAAATTAAAGAGCCTTGGAACTGACCTGTTCCTGGAAGCCCACCATGTCAAGGGCATTGCACACCTCTTTGTATTTGTGCTTCCAGCGCTGAGCTACGTCCTGTGTACCAAATCGTCCACTTATGTACCTGAGAAGGCATATATCCCCCACAAAACTGTTACATGATCAGGACAACAAGTCAGTCCTACCCCAAGGAAACAAAGCAGATTACCAACAGTGGACACATGAAAGGGAAAGAAATTTCCAAGGTAATATAGCAGAGACTCCAGACCTCCCAACTTCCATGATGAGCTGTAAGATCTCTTTGTGTGGTTCCATTCAGATCCCACTCCAGCTTCCACTCACTTGTTAACCTGTGCCAGGCTCCACAGACAGAGCCATAAGGCAGAAGCAGACGCTCCATTATGCTGCTTTCCCCTCCACCCCGCATCATGAGGTAACTAGGGTCTGTTTTTGAAGTACCTGTAAAGTGAAGGATCCAACAGCCCATACATCTCCTTTTCCTCCGAAGACAGTCCAGCAAACATGTAGTAGAAGATGTGGAAATTCCTCTCCCCAGCATCTTGTTGCACTACCCGTGACTTCTCTAACAGGTACTCACTCAGCTTTGCACCTTGAACTGCACACAGGAAGGTAACAGGGTAAACTCTGCACTTGGGGACATGAAGCTGACTGAGCTGTCCCGCACCTCTTACTTGGTGATAGGAGCATGGAATGGTCTAAAATAACTTTCTCATGTGCAGCACCCTCTAGGCTGCCCAGCACCCTGGAAATGGGCTTCTCCATTTTACACATGCCTGTTCACCTCCTTTAGCAGCAACCAAGGCTCTTGGCACTGCAGAGTATTACTGATACTTCCCCTCCACTGTCATCCCCATATCCTTCCTGTACTCCCACACTGTCCATACCCAGGCCTTATAATACAGCTGTGGTTGCTCTTAGATTTTTCTTAACTGCACGCCCTACCCACTGGGTGTCAAAATTTCACTCCCCACCAGCCCTGGCTATTCAGTTCTCTCCCTCCAGTGCCTAACCACCACCCAGACTAGTAATTGCCTTGACTTACCTGTATTTTTCTGGAAACGCAGCTGTATGTATTTTCCAAAGCGGCTGCTGTTGTCATTCACCACAGTCTGGGCATTGCCAAAAGCTTCAAGCAACGGATTTACCTAAACAAATGAGCAAGCAGAACAATCATTCTTCAAGTTAAGTGATCCAATTTAACTCAGCCAGAAAAATTTAACTCTAGCATTTACTGTCCAGCATTCAGCCGGAATAGGAACCACTCCAGGAGGACCTAAGAGCACCTATTTTATCATAACTGGATAAAGGAACTGAAAGAAGCAAATATTCCAGAAGCTAAGCAGCACGAGGTTACTGAAAATAAGCACTATCAGACTGATTTGATCTCAGTAAAATCACTGACTTACTTGTTTAAAGAAAAGGCTGGTATAACGGGTTTCCACAAAGCATCTGACACGGTATCATTAGATAATCTGGCTGCTGTAACTACAACAACTAACAAGGTAAACATGGCACTCAGTATATGTAAGCATAAAACTTAGCTACTGAAATTTGTAGACAGCATAAGGCTCAGAACAGTGAATTATAAAGAACCTAACAGAACAATCAGACCAGCTTGGTAAACTGGATGCAAACAAAGTGAAATGACAATTTTTCTACATTTGAGCAAGGAATATTTGCTGAGTGGAAGAACAATGCCTCGAGGGTACATTCTGGGCAGCCTGCTGAGCAGAGCTTTACAGTAACCCAAAAGGGCTAACATAGTTCTTGAATATACCTACAGGAACCAAATCAGATGCCTATTATTTCTTCATTGTCACCTCTAATCTTTCCAAGGGCAGCACATCTGGATTGAAGTGAACTGTTTTTCCAATTGAAGAATTGCAGGCTAGCTCCAGGCACAATGTTGAGCAAACATAGCTATCCAGAAGATCAGAAGCAGCTGGGCAGTGTGGCCCAAGCAAGCTCTGTGTGGGACCAGCAGGTGTATTGATGCCACGTTCCCACAGCAGAGCACAGGAATTCACCATGAACCTACAGTGGATGATACTACAGTAAAATAGTATGTCATTCTAGAGCCTAAAGTATGGCAAAACATCATACTAAGTTTGTGTGGCAAGGTTTTGGTAGTAGGGATGCTACAGGGTGGCTTCTGTGAGAAGCTGCCTGAAGCTTCCGCCATGTCCAATAGAGGCAGCACCAGCCAGCTCCAAGGCCTGCAGCTGGCTAAGGCTGAGCCCATCAGCAATGGCGGTGGCACATCTGGGAGAACATATTTAAGAAGGGGAAAAACAGCTGCATAACTGCAGCCAGAAGAGAGGAGACCAGTGCAGAAGGAGGGCAGGAGGTGCTCCAGGCACCAGCGCAGATTCCCCTGCAGCGCATGGAGGTCCATGGTAGAGCAGAGATATACCTGCAGCCCATGGAGGCCCACACTGGAGCAGGGGCATGGCCAAAAGAGGCTGTGACTCCATGGGCAGCTCACATTGGCGCAGGCTCCTAGTAGGATCTGTGGCCCCAGGGAGACAGGAGCCCACATTGGGACAGGTTTGCCACAGGACTTGTCCCCCCACAGGGAACCCATGCTGGAGCAGTCTGTTCCTGAAGGACTGCACCTTATGGAGGGACCCACACTGGAGCAGTCTGTTCCTGAAGGATGTACCCCATGGAAGGGACCCACGCTGGAGCAGCCTGTTCCTGAAGGATGTACCCCATGGAAGGGACCCACGCTGGAGCAGTCTGTTCCTGAAGGACTGCACCTTATGGAGGGACCCACACTGGAGCAGTCTGTTCCTGAAGGATGTACACCATGGAAAGGACCCACACTGGAGCAGTCTGTTCCTGAAGGATGTACCCCATGGAAGGGACCCACGCTGGAGCAGTCTGTTCCTGAAGGATGTACCCCATGGAAGGGACCCACACTGGAGCAGTCTGTTCCTGAAGGATGTACCCCATGGAAGGGACCCACACTGGAGCAGTCTGTTCCTGAAGGATGTACCCCATGGAAGGGACCCACGCTGGAGCAGTTCATGAAGAACTGCAGCCCATGGGAAGGGCTCACATTGAAAAAGTCCCTGGAGGACTGTCTCCTGTGGGAGGGGCCCCACACCAGAGCAGGGGATGAGTGCGAGGATGAGAAAGCAGCAGGATGTGTGTGACGGGCTGACCACAATCCCCACTCCCATGCCCCTGTGCTGCTCAGGGGAAGGAGGTAGAGAAACTGGGAGTGAAGTTGAGCATGGGAATGCTGATGTTAACTGGCAATAAATTAAATTGTTATTACATTATTTTTTCCTAAGTTAAGTCTGGTTTGCCTGCGACAGTAATTGCTGGGAGAGATACCTGTCATTTTCTTGACCTTGAGCCTTTTATCTTATTTTTCTTGCCCTGTCCAGTTGAGGAGGTGTTTGCTGGTCACAGGGTGTCCAGCCAAAGTTAACCACCCCAAACAGAAAGATCTCCCTGGCTGTACCTGGGAAAACACAGACTTCAAAACCTGAAAACACAGACTTTAAAATGAAGGAGTCCAAGAACTCATTCTGCTTAACCTATCATTATGATTTGTTCAAAAAGCCCCACAGCTCCTTGGGGAGCAATTCAAGCAGAAATACATCAGACCAAAGAGATAAGTATGCTTCAAAATCAGCCAGCAAAGGTATATGAAAAGGACAAAGATTAACTTAGCCAGTTAGCAGGTATGTGCACGACTAAATATACATAGCCAAGTAAAGGCTGCGTGGATCCCTGTGTACCATTAAACAAAGACTTAGTTTTGCTAACAGAAGTCCTTGTTCTGCCTCAAACAGGAAATCATCTGGAAAAATGCCCCTCATGCCTTGTCACAGAGAACATGATAAACAATTGCAATAGTTTTCTATCATTTAAGATATCACTACATTCCCAGCAAATAGAATTACTGTCCAACCAACCCTTCTAATTTGTGGTCAGCTATTTCACCATCCTTACCCACTATTTTCTTATGTGCCTTGTGTTTTGTTCCCTGCCTTCCAATGGTGATTCATCAGCAGGCTTCCTGAGCCTAGAACAAGCTGTCTTGCAGCAGTGTGGCTTCATGCACCATCCTGTATGGACCTGTACAGACCTACCTGAAGGATCTGCTGCTCCAGCTGCGAGTTGCCTTTGCATAGGTTCATTACGTGCTGCAATAATAACTTCGTACTCTCTGTTTTCCCTGCACCACTCTCTCCACTGCCAAGAAAAAGCAAAGCAAAGCAGCTGTAAAGTGCAGTTGTTCTGCCCCTTATGTCATATTGCCCCATCACTTCAGAGTGTTCTCCCATCCAAGAGTTCCACAACTTTTGCAGCTGAACTGCACATGCGAGTACAAACTCACACCACAGTTCTACACAGCGGGTCCCACAAGGTCTTAATCCCTTCCCAGGAAAATTTTTCCCATCTGCAAGGGAATACAGATATACTGCAAGCTTTTGAATGGGGGGCACCTGACAGACCATTTTCTCTGCTTCTTTAAGGAAAAACTATCTAACTCTTGGAAAGCAACCTCCTTCAAAAGTGATCACATGCATCTAATTCCCCCATATGCCGGAGTTGACAGCTTCCTCTTTCTTCAATGACATTCGTCCCATCCATCTGATATCCACAACCAAGTACTGCCTCTGAGGTCCTGCAGCAATCTCAAATCTCAGGCACTTCACACATTGACATGGTTCAGCTGGCTAAGATGCAGGCACATGGCTGCAGAGCTGCCTGCAAACCCATAGTGGTGCACGTCACTCTGTTGTCACATGTGCCCAGCACCTCCGCCTCCAAGTCAAACAACAGCAGTTGGAAAGCACAGTTTCCCCTGTCCTGGCAGAGGGAATGCACAGTCAGTGAAACAACGTGCCCTTGACTGACAACTCGTACCTGCAGAGGACCTCAGCATGTATGCACAGAAACAACCCCAACACGAGGAAATGCTGAAGGTATACTTGAGGGCAGGTGTCTGTTTCTACATCTGACCTTTGAGCATCTGGTGTGGCTTTACTGCTTTGTAGCTCCCAGTGACTCTGTGCTTGGGATCAAATATGCGTCTAAATGCCTCAAATACCACAGGATACTTGATGTCAAGCACAGATCAGGCAATCACCATCTGGATATGCACAAACAAAATAAGACCATTTTGCCAGTTGAGAACATGCCATGCAGACAGTGCCTCTGCCCAGTGTATAAGATGTTTTTTTGTTTTCAGTGACTTCCTTCTTCTGCAAAAACACTACCAGTCAGCACTTCCATGGTTCAAGCTTGTCCTTGTAGTCTTCATCAAGCACAACAGCTTCTCCAGGTCCTGCAAACACTATCCAGCTACAGGTGTGTACTGTCCCAGGCTGTGAAGAAAAGCAAAGTAATCTCAAAGAGACCACAGTACTTTATCACAGCATACCCAGGCTGTGACTAACCTCCACTGGGGTTGGGAAGGCAAGAGGAGACAGCAGAATTTGCACCACAGGACAACTTGATTGCAATGAGCATTTGTCACCCGGGGGCAGCAGCTGTATTCAATGTCTACCTCTGAAACACACCCTCCTGACCTCCCAGACTAAGTTGGAGAGACCAAAGAGACCACAAAAAGTAGCAGAGCCTGGTGCATCCCATTGCTGTCTGATGAACTGTGGTCTAACAGGAGTGACTTCCTCTTCCTTCTCCACCCCAACTTTGCTCATGCCAGGTAATCTCATTAATGAGTGTTTCACAACTCAGCAAGAAAGCAAAACCATGAACTTCTGTGACAGTAACGTGCAAACCAGTTAATAGGGTTGACAGATGGACAAGACACACAGCCTGTGCCAGATGCACAGGCTGCTCAGACTCTCATCTCTTGAGACCTCAAACTGCCAGTGGAAAACAGACCGCTGACAAACACCCACAAGTTACAGTTCCTCCTCTTCCATCTCCCAAGACAAATACTATGACTGTTCTCCATCCCTAAAAACCCTACCAGAAGCACCTCTTCTACCTGCTGACTCTGTGGCCACCACTTCATGAGAGCACTTCATGGAAAGTGCAGGCACCGATGGCCTGCAGGCAAGGGAAATGAGCGGCGCTCAAGTGACCTCGAGGTCAGCTCCCAACCCCCCCCATCACATTCAACAGGTCATTTACACACCACACAGACTGAAAATACTAACAAAATGCTCAGGAGGCCAATATAAAGAAGGGAATATTAACTCAAACAAGCTGGCAATTACCATTTAAACAGACCTGACATTTAAACTGTTCTTTACAACAACCAGAACAGGCAGTTAGCGTTTTGAGGCTTTCTTCTCCATGCTGTTTGAGGCTTTCTCTGCTGGTTGATAATGTTTGAGGCTTTCTCTGTTAGCTGATGCTATCTCCTGCCCTGCACAGTGTCAGCAGAACAAAAGTGACATCATGGAGTGAAATGCTCGTGACACTGGTATGCTCTTTGGCTACAAGAGCCCACTTTTTCCCCTTCTAGTGCACAGGACCGCCCATAAAAACAAGATTTTCCTTGACCAGATTCCCAAAGGTCTTAGGGCAAGAAAAGTTTCTGTATTAAGTTCTCCTGCTCTTTGGTTATACATGGGAAGCTCCAATTTGGGAAAACAGTTTCTTTTCATTACGCATGACCTTTATTACAGCAGTTACAGTGGGAGCTGCTTTGCCAAAGAGCACCCTATGGATTTCCCCAGAGCTAATAAATCTTTCCAGTGACACATCCCTCCAGAAGCAAACCCAGCATACTCAGCTGCGTTAGAAGCATCAGCAGCTGAGTTGCTCCACAGAAGCCAGCTTTGTTTGTCACACATCTGCAACCTCCTGTATGGAAATGGGACGGGTTTGATGCGTTTCAACCACAACTCGGTTTTGACCTGCCAGTGCCACCAGAGATGAGCTTCACCTCCAGCTTCATTGCGGAGAACCCAGTAAGAGCTTGGTGGCCACCACTGGCCTCAACCTCAGCTCACACCTTGGTCTGGCTCCATCGAGCCCCAAGCCCACCATGCTGCCTGCTTGCCCCTCACCTGATGACGATGCACTGGCTGCGGGGCCCGCTGCCCCGGTGGCCCAGCATGGCATGGTAAGCCCGGCTGGCCACGGCGAAAATGTGGGGCGGCAGCGTGCTGGTCTCATGGCACAGGTACTGCTTGGAGACCTGCGGGGAAGCGGTGGCAGGCATGAGGCAAAGGGGCTGGAAGGCAGCAGGGGTCCGCAATGGCGGGCTGCGGTGGGGGCTCACCTCTCTCCCGTACAGCGGCAGCGGCTGGAAGGGGTTCATGGCGATGAGGATGTCCCCGACATCGGTCTGGCGGAGGAGGAGAGCCCGTCAGCCGAGCGCCCGCCGCCGCCGCCCCCCGCCCCGGTCCCCGGCACTCACATAGACCTGCTGCCGCAGGAACCGCTCCCGCAGCCCGCCCAGCAGCGCCGCCTCGTCCAACTCCGCCAGCGCAGCCAGATCCCCGCCTAACCCGGCGGCCGGGTACCGCTCCCCGCCGGACACCATGCTGCCCCGACCCGCGCCGCGCCGCCGACAGCCCTCCCGGCACGGCAGGGACCGCCCCGGCCCGCCCCGGGAACGCCCGCCGGGGCGGGGCCGCCATTTGAACGCGGGGCGGTGGCAGCGGCGACCTGCAGGTAACGGGCGGCTTGGTTGAGGCGGCGGCGGTGGGTCTCGTTGTGGGCTCCGTCCGCCCCTCCGGGAGGTCCTGCCTCGGATCCGGGGGCACCCGCAGTGGAAAGGCTGCCCTGGCGCGGTGGTGAGGGGCACCTCAGCGGGAAGGCCGCCCTGAGGCGGTGGCGACCCGGCATAAAGGGGGAGGACGGTCCCGCGGCCTCTCCCGCATGGTCGCCGGCCCCAGAGGCGGGCTGTGGAGCTGCCCCATGGGGTGGGTGTTGCTTCCAACACACCAAGAGTGGCTGTGCTGCCGTAATAAAAGGAGGGGTTTGGAGGATATTAAAATTCTGGTTTTAATACCAGAAATAGAATCCTAGAATGATTTGGTTTGGAAGAGAGCTTAAAGCTCATCCAGTTCCAACCCCCTGTCACAGGCATGGACACCTTCCACTAGAGCAGGTTGCTCCAAGCCCCGTCCAACCTGGCCTTGAACACTGCCAGGGATGGGGCAGCCACAGCTTCTCTGGGCACCCTGTGCCAGCCCCTCAGCACCCTCATAGTGAAGAACTTCTTCCTTATATCCAATCTAAACTTCCCCTGTTTAAGTTTTAACCCGTTACCCCTTGTCCTGTCACTACAGTCCCTAATGAAGAGCCTTTCCCCAGCATCCTTGTAGGCCCCCTTCAGATACTGGAAGGCTGCTATGAGGTCTCCACGCAGCCCCCTCCAGGATGAACAGCCCCAACTTTCTCAGCCTGTCTCTGTACGGGAGGTGCTCCAGCCCCCTGATCATCCTCATGGCCTCCTCTGGACTTGCTCCAAGTCCTTCTTGTGTGGGGAACACCAGAACTGTACACATTGCTCCAAGCACAGGGAATATTGCTAATGGGGCATCGTAGGGTAGTTAGTTGTACAGGAAGCATTCAGTGGTTTCTATTTCAAGTCTGAGAATGGAGAAGCAGGCTGGAATGCTGCTGTCCCCGTGGTATTTTCAAATCTACTCACGGGCTTTAGCCTAAATGTAATACATTTTAGAATAGTGGAAGCAGTTGTGCTTTGTTATGTGAGCAGGAGACAGTCAAACCTGGTGCATTTATATATATATATATATAAAAATATATGTGTGTGTGTGCATTTATTTATTTATTTTAATTGAAAGAAATTTGGCTTCAAAATGAAAATAATGGCTGTAACCTACCCTGGCTAAAGGTGCTCTGTGAGTGGTAGCATTTTAGTTTATTGCTGGTGAGTATTTCTGCACGCTGTCACTAAGCTCTGGCGTGGTATTACCTGCAGGGGTGCTGGGTCTACCCTGTTTGACTGAGACATGGCCTTAGCTAGGCCTGTGGTTGTGTCATGAATGAATCTGAGCATAAACCTCTAGAGAAGCTTCTGCTGCTATAAAATGCTGCCCATGCCCCTCGCTATCCAGACTTCTGCTAACTCATTAAACAAGTCTTGATACTCATTTGATGTGAAACTTTTGTTTCAGACATTTGTTTAGGTATCAAATATCTCTGGAAGGCTGTATTTGACGAATTTCCTTCCCTAAGGTGACACATCTTCATGTATTCGTGTATCTCATCCACATAGGTATGAACTTTCGTGGAGGTAGTTCAGCTTCCAGAGAAACTCCAGGCTCCGTGCCATGGCAAGTGTGCAACAGCCTGCGCTGCCTTTTGATCAAAAGGCAGAGCAATATTTAACTGGTGCTGAGCTAACACATGCGTCTTTCTCTGAGGAAGGCAGTAAAAGAGGGAGTGTTTTTCTTTGTAACAAAACATGATGCTCTTGCAGAAGAGAAGAGCAGCAGTGAAACTGGTCACTAAGTGGATAGTGTGATTCACAGCAGTTACTGAGTTTCTCTCATCTCAAACCACAAAATACTGTTAGAAAATGACAATGCAAACCACTTGTTTCTTGGAAACCTCCATGGGAAAAAAAAGCAAGAATGTGCTCTTTCTTTCTCTTTCCTCCCCAAGGCAAATCTTATGGCCGCTTTCTGCTCCTACCCACAGTACCTCTGCCACCCACTGGCTTCCTTGGGCTTACAGAAAATTTTGCACAAATAATGGGGCAAAGCACAGGAAGCAGTGGTTTGTGAGTGGGATTGCATGCTTGAGAATTATTCATAGACATATTGTAATGTACTGCTTTTGTTTTCATGGTTTGGTCTTTCTTACACTGCTCCTCTGGTTGATGTACCTGTGGGTAGGCGTGCAGAAGGAAACTGTTAACAACAGTTGCTCACAATTAACTTTCTTTCATAATAAAGTGCAGAGTTTGTAGCTCAGAATCATACCCATCTTTTGTTATTTGTCCATCTCTCTTGGCTCTTCAGGGTCAGTTACCTTTCTGTGTATCAGCCCTGAGGTTGTCATGAGTGACTTGCCCCTGCTGTTTATGGCTGGAGCAAACACTGTGGAAGAGCAGAGGGCTCGCTGGGAGAGGAAGCGCAGCCGGACAGCTAAGGAGCTGCTGGAAACTGAACACAGATACCTTGAGCAGCTGGATTTGGTGGTCACAGTAAGTATTTTAGTCCCTTCTGATACGTGGGTACCTTCAGGCAGCATGTTCTTATTTGTGTTGTCGTGGGGAAGGTCAAGAGCAAGACTTTGAGACATTTCTACTGCATGGGACAACATGGGGCTGAAAGTTGGGTTTTTTTGTTGTTTCTCTTTTACCTCCTCTGTAATATCCAGTAGCTCAGGGTACTGGCCCCATGGCTTTGGTCTGTACACAGACACAAATCAAGTTGCAATCAGTTTTGATTGACTGTATAGGGGACTCATCTTAAGATGCCTGAGGTGTATGAAATGTAGGTGCACAGACAAGACAAAGACTGATAATGAACAACGTCGTGAAAACCGGATGCATCTAGGAATACTGAAATAGACTCTTATTAGTGCTATAGTACTGTTCCACATGTTTACAGTTACGGTCAAATTTACCAAGAAGGATTACATCTGATGACAGAGATCTTACGAAGGAGTCACAATATTCAATTTCCTTTTGAGCTAGAGAGTGTGCAGGCTGCAGGTTCTTGCTTCTGCTGTGTACCATGAATAACATTTGAGGGACCTGTGAATTCTACCTGTTTGAAATTCTTTCTTTTTCCGTACTTAGTTTTTTGTGACAATTTTAAAGGCCAAAGGGACACTGAAACCTGCTGTGTTGGAAACCATATTTGGACCCCTGGAATCCATATGTTCGGCCAGCCAGTAAGTGAACACACCTATGTGATTCCTGTAATTATATGGGGAGGACCCTATAGTGATGAGAAAGAAAGATTTCAGGAAATAAAGCTACCACCTTGTAAAACAGGCATTCACTTATAGCACTGCTAGCCTTCGTGGCACTTGCAGGTGTACCCAGGAAGCTGCTGATCTGTATCCACATATCTGGATGTCCAGTTGCTCTCTGGATAATAGATTAAACCCAGTAAGTCTGCTCTGTGTTATTTTTAAGCGATGTTTTCTTTAGTTTACTCTGTGACAACCAAGCATGTATTTGGCACATAAACCAAGGTGGAGGCTGACAAAGAAAGGTCAGAACAGAACTGAACCAGAGGGAGCTGTGAAAACACCATCAGTAGTGTACCCCTCATGGGCTCTCATTGCTCCTTGTGCAGTGTTCTGGCACTTCACCTGGAGAGAGGGAACCTGGGACCAGGACTGGAAAATTTCTGTCAGAATCTGGAACTTTATGCCCACTACATTGAGAATTTGGAGCAGGCAAATAAAACTTTGAAGGTAAATATCTTCTTTATTTTTCATGTACTTTCTTCCTTCTGTCCATTCTGTGAAACAGCTATATCCTTCCCTTTTTCTTCTGTTTCTGGAGTGAGCAGCTTTCTTTCCTTTTTCTGGGCTGCTGCTATTTTTCTCAGTCTTTCTGCCATAATAGAATGGTGAAAACTCTCCTGATGTAGAACTTCAAATTTTTTAATATTTTTAGATGTCTATGAACCTATGTGTGTGCAAACACTGAGCCCACCTTTCTCAGAGTTCTGTATTTATCCCCACTCCTCCTTGACTGTCAAACCTGGAGAGTTTGCAGTGGGAACACTACAGGACAGTGATCTCTTTCTGGAGAATTATCGGGTCTTCTAGTCTTTCCCACTACCATTACCTGTATTCTAACTGGGATTTCCTTTTCCTTCAATTTTTTTTCTATGATAGAAGAAAAAAAAAATTCCTTCCCACTTACCTTTCCAAATACAACCTGTGATTCAAGAGATTTCAGAAGGATGTATTTTTATTTCAAAGTCCTGACAGCTGTATCTGGAATTTAAAACACCCGACTTACAGTTTTTGTCTGTGATTGTTCCTAGCTGCAGTATGTACTGGGATGTTTCCCTTCTGTCTGTTTGCATGCATAAATTCCCACTTTTGATTTCTCAGGAGAAAAGGCCATTTTGGATACTTGCTTTTAGGTGATGGGGAGCAAAGATTGCTTTGTCTTGAAAGGAATGGCAGAACCGCAGGCGTACTCCTTGTTTTCCTATCTGAGTCAACCTTCCCTTTTTTTTTTTATTTCCTGAGTATACTAGCTGTGCATGTATTCTCATCAAATGCAGCAGGTTTATACTGCCATGCATATATGAAAAGGGGATATCACTTCAACTACCCACTGGAAATGGTGGCCAGGGGAAGGCAATAGCTTGCCCATGGCCACAAAATAAGTTGTTGGTACTTCTGTCTCGTACTGGAGTTCTAAACTCTAACAGTTCCAAGCTCTGGTGCAGACTAGAGCACATAATTCTCTTTGTAGTCTGAAAGCTATATCCCTTTTATGCCACACACAGGAGCAATTGAGGAAAAATAAGTCATTCCGACGGTTTAAGAAACTCCAAGAGGCTCGACCTCAGTTTCAAGGGAGGAGGCTAGAGGATCTGCTTCCTTTGCCCCTGCAGAGGCTGCACCAGTAAGTAAACAATTCTGAGTCTTCAAGATGTTAGTATAAGGAAGGAAAAGGGAACATAACAGTATATTGGTTGCTATGAGAGGTGAAGTGCTTAATGTGTCTCAAAATCCAAGCATACAGACAGCAATAAAACAGACCTGAAGACATGCCTGTAAAGTGGAGTCAGTATATGTGGAAGGGAGATGACATAGAGAGGTAGCTGCATTCAGTGCTGGCTCCAAAGCCATTCATCTAGCTCTTGGGTAGAAATGAAATGGAGGCTCTCTATCATCTTGATAAGCTACTGAATTAGGCCCTGAACAAAGGCAAGCTTCTAAAGTGCTGCAGAAGTAGTGCTCTCTGCTTTTGTGCGGGTTGCTGACCTGAAACTTGTGACTTCTCCCTTGTAAATTGTTACTTTTGGAGAGAGGTAAGATTAATGAGCTAAACAAGGAAGGTTTTTCCCCCTCCCTGGTTTTCAGGACCATATGCTTTTCTCAAATTTGGTACCTATCGCAGTTATCTGAGCCTGGACAGACCCAGCCTTGATTGCTGTATTCTGCCCCTTGAGGCATCATCTCCGCTTTGAAGAGGTAAGCTGCCTGCACAAGGGTAGTGCTCCATGCATTCAAGGACAGCTCTTTCTTGGTGAGAGTATGAGTTGTACAGAGCAAAGGTAGTTTCCTGGCAACCCAGCTGCTGCTACTATAGATCAAGTATCTGCTCTTAAGCATGGCCTTAGCTGCACTAAAGCAAATTTGAGAGGCTGAGAGCCTCATTTCTTTGAAAATAATTAGAAGTGAGAGTACAACAGTCCTTCAGGTAGCTTTACGCAACCTTTTTAATCAGCTTGGCAGATACAAATTCTGCCTTTTGCTTTTCCTGTAATTCTTTGGAACCTTCCTTTAATTTGTAAAATAGCAGGATGTTTGTTACTGTTCAACTGTTTGGAAAAATTATGGCTTTTTAACAGAAGGTCTAATTTTTTCATTAGTCAACTCTTGTGTTCAAGTGTTTTTGAAACCCCGTTACATATACTGCAGGTCATATGAGTTCTGCCAGTTCATGAATCTATTCAATGCGATATTTCTTCTGTCAGTTCAGACTGAAAATAACTTGACTTTTATTGAGAGAAAGCATTTGCACAGATCTGATGCCTTCTGGTAAAGACTGGAGAGGAAAAAAGAAAAAGGCAGCTCCTAGTTCTTATAGAAATGCCTTTATATTCTTCTGTGGGTAGGAGTCATGGTATGAATGCTACTATTCAGACATTAAAAAAAAACTAGTTCAAAGGGAAAATTGACAGTTATTGAAGGCATTTTTATGTGAATTCTAAGAAAGTCTCATGAACTTCAATAATATGTGAGGTTGCTTTTATCAGATCTCCAGGAAATGCCTAAGGTTGCAAATGTATAAAATACTTGGGTTAATTTAGTTGATAACTTTGAAGATGAAATGAATGTAGTTGAAGAATTATGACCAAATATTGGTTGGTTAGGCTTAGAGGTCTGTACTCCATCTCCTGGTGGAGGGTTGTGCATCATTCTGTCACTAATAGGAGATGCTGCTGATGCTGGTATCTTTAGGTGATATAAACCTGCTTTCTCTCTCTTAGGTACAAGCACTTCCTCAGAGACTTGCTGGAGAATACGAACCCAGACAGCCCTGAGTACCAGAAACTTGCAAGTATGATTCTACCTGTAGATACTGGCACTTTGATCTGTGTTAGCCTCCTTGCTAATAATACTTGAATTCTCATCTTCTGTCTACCTCCACAGGAAGAAAAATCTTCCTCTCTCTGAGATTCTAATAAGTTACTATTTCCCTTCTCTATTTCAATCAAGGTGTCCCTGAGAACACATTGGGAGTAAAAGTGTAGTGTAACTGACTGGGTTAAGTGGCCTATGGGTTAGGTCAGAGAAATGGCAGCTCTTTTTTTAACTGTGAGGGTGGTGAGACACAGGAGCCTAGGGACCCTATGGATGTCCAATTACTGGAAGTGTTCAAAGTCAGGTAGGATGGGGCTGTGAGCAACCTGGTGTTGTGAGAAATGTTTCTGCCCATCACAGGGCATTTGGACTAGATTTTTAAAGCTTCCTTCCAACCCCAACTGCTTTGTGAATCTTGGGCATGTGCCTCGATTTTCTATAGCAGTTCATGACCTTCATGCTGTATTTACTAGCAGTTAACACCACTTATGGGCATTTTCCCTGTTTCTGCTTCCAAATCCAGGAAATTATTCATCTGTCTAATGTTTCGTTGTCAAATGTTGGGGTTTTTCAGAACTGCAGAATTGTTAGTGGGAGTGAGGCCTCTGGAGGTCATCTAGTCCAATTCTCTTGCTGAAATTACTGAATAAATTTATTGTTGATACTCAGTTTACAACATTTGCTCCTTAATTTCATTTTATCTTTTCCCAGCAAGATAGATAAGCAGTAAGATGTACTCACTTGTGATAACCTCAGAATATGCTGCTATAATTTCAGAGGCTGTGAAATCTGTTTCTGAGGTATCTCAGTGGGTACAAGACATCATTCATAAGAGAGAGAACTCATTGCAGCTACTTCGTGTTCAGAAACTGCTGAAAGGAAAGAAGATACAGATTTTGACTGCAGGTGGGCCTTACTGTTTTTATGCTGCCCAGATAGAGATATGTTTGCCTTCATGTCTGACTCAACTCATATTAACCAGTTTTACCCTTTTACCCAAATTCCATAGATAGGGGATGAAGGAATATAACTAATAATTCAAGCACTTTTTTTTAAAGTCAGCAATTTTTGAGTAAGGATAAGCAGCAGCTTAATTGCCTGACATTCAGATAGGGGGTGCTGATAATATATAGTTAGAAAGTTTATAACAGGACTCTAAGGAGGTCAGGAGTGTAAGTCCTGGATGAGAATGAAAAACACACATTAAATGATTTTTGAAGAGTGTAAGAAGTGGTGGTGTCCCTACTCCACAGTATGAGCCATAGATTCATGAGTGTCAAGAGCCCAAGGACTTTGGTAGTTTTTACGTTAAGGTACAAGCTTCATAGACTTCTGTTCACAGTCTTCACATAAAGAATCTTCTTTTATCTGCAGGGTTAAGCTGTTCCTAAAGTCAGACTGTTTGTGTTAATAGCTGAGATATATAAAGTGATATCTAATTGGTTAACAAGTTTATGACCTCTTGTGCAACTGGGTGCTCTTCATGCCCAGAGCACACTCCAAGCTACTTATGAAATATTGTGAGAAAAGTGCCCAGTCTGGGCAATTATGAAATGGTGACTTGGTGCTTTGCCAGTTCTCTCAGGAAACACTGCTATTGCAGAGGTATTCTAGAAAGAGTGCTACAGCTGGACAGGAGTGTTGAAGTCACTGTGTGTAAAGATCTCTAAGGCACACCTCCAGGTAGCTGTGAATGTGTCTGTAATTCATACATGTGGATTTCTGCATGAAGACATCCACTAGTGGGATGGGTGAGACAATCAGAAAGGTGAAAGTAAGAAAATGTGTGGATTGAGATAAAAGTAGTTCAACAGATAAAGCAAAAGCCACATGCACAAATAAAGCAAAATAAGGAATTCATTCACCATTTCCCATCAGCAGGTAGGCATTCAGCCATCCCCAGGAAAACAGGGGTCCATCACGTATAGTGGTTACTTGGGAAGACAAAATTTCATCACTCCAAACATCCCCACTTTCTTCTCCTTTCCCCAGCTCTTTATGCTGAGCATGACATCATAAGGTACGGAATGTCCCTTGGGTCAGCTGGAGTCAGCTGTCCTGGCTGTGTTCCCTTCCAACTCTTTGTTCACCCTCATCCTGCTCACTGATGGGGTGGGGTGAGGAGCAGAACAAAACCTTCAGGCTGAGCAGTGCTTACCCAGCATTAACCAAAACATGCCTATATTGTAAATGCTGTTTTCAGCATAAATCCAAGACAGCCCCATACCAGCTGCTATTTGTTTGAAGAAAATTAACTCTATCCCAGCCAAGCCAGTATGGATAGAATAAGAGAATATTTATCAGAGGTTACCATTCTCAAAGATGCTTAGTCAATGGGCAGATTAATTTACAATTCTTCTTCTCTTTCTTCTTGGAATACTTTTGGTGATGCTAGATGAAAGTGAGCTCATACAGGTGTGCTGTGCTTATACTCAGCATGAGCATGTGTGTGGGTGCCTGTGCACATTGGGGTAGTGCTTAAGTAAAAAGGTACATCAGTTATCCTGAATGACAGAACTAATAAGATAACCCTATAACAAAATACCCAACACCATAACAGTATAGCTAGACCAGAGACGGCCATCATTTGAAAGCTTTGGCCATCATTTGAAAGTCCACATTTTTCTTTGTCTCTGACTATTGTGAGATCTGTAGTAAGGCAAGTATTGAGAGTCTATAGACACCTTTCCGTTATCTGGGACAGAGAATTGTGATGGCTGTGTTTTCCGTTAGCTGGGGTAAAATAGGTATTATTGGATGTAAGAAGCAGAAAAGTAAGAGGCAGCTGGGGCTTGGTAGTTTTGGCCCAGCTTTCAAGAAGCAAGGTAGCTTTTACCAACTTTTACCATTTCATCCTGTTACTAGGACAATGCTATAGATTCAGATAAAAGGGGTGGCTTTGTAGTTAGGTGTCTCCCATTTTGCTGTGTCTCTGAGACATACTGCTCCTAGTGAAAAGAGATCCTGCTTTCCTCGCTGCCTTCCACATACAGGGCAAAAACAGTCTTAGCCAGAACCGCATCCTTAACATAGCACACTGTTCTATTATCCCTAGCTTCCACAGGGATATTTCCTTTCCCTCCTTTCACAAGAATTTCTTAAATTGTGTGCCCCTGGGATTTCTAAGCATGAATCTGTATCCCAAGACTTCCAACACAGACCAGCTCAGACTGTTTGCCAGGGAGTCTGATCATAACCTAGGTTGAAGGAAAACAGTTCCTAGTCCAGCACTATGCTGCTAACACCTTCCTTCCATTTGTTTTTTAAACTTGGACTGATTCCTGCACCTCACCTTTCTCAGTTTCTCATTCATATAAGAGGAGTGGTTCCTGTGGAGTAAGCTAAGCAGGATTTCACTTGCCTCTGTGTCCTGGGGCTGTAGCATACTAAGACAAAATCTGTAACTGAAACAAAATTATGTTGTTTTCTAAAGGTACTTCTTAGCTCAGCCAGAAGGTGAGGCCCAGAAAACAATGGCTGAAATTCCCTGTCAGGTGTTTTCCAGACTAGGCAAGATGGCAATACCTTATTATGATGGCTAAAGATTTTCAGAAATATTCTTACTGGCAAGTGTCTTTGTAATTCCCTTAAGTTAATGGCTGTCTTGTACAATAATCCTCCTCACTAGAGGCACTGCTTTAATTATTCCATGTTCTGTAGATGCCATTTTTGTATCTTACAAAATTGCTGCTTACACCTAGGTTTATCAAACTGTTTTGACTTTTTCCCCTGCCAATTTCTCTGCCTTTTGTTTTAACGCAAATCATTTCATGGGTAGATGACTCTTCTAAGATGGCTTATGTTAATTTATGGCTTATGTTAATTTAAAGGCATGCATATCATTTCAAACTATGTTTTTGTTCTGGTCTCTTTACACAGGCTTGCATATCATAATTCGTCTTAATTAACACAGACATAACTTCATCTGCTCCTCCTATACTAAGTTTTGGGCTGGTAACTGCTTCCGCATGGGTGTTGTCAGCTGCCATAGTTGATATTCAGCGCCTTCTAGTGGCTGAAATTGTTGTAGAGCCTGGTAACCTACAACCGCGGCTCGTTGTATTCCTGTTTGTCTCATTACATCAGGTTTTTTGCCTTTTTTTCTGACAACTGTTTTCTGTTTTTATTTCCCTCGCATGTCTAGGGCGCTGGTATGTCCGGGAAGGCTGGCTTTTGGTGGTGCCTTCGAAGGGAGAAGAACTGAAGCCCAGGATGTGCTTCCTCTTTTCTGATATCTTCATTTCAACAAAGCCCTGTCACCCACTGCACCCACTGAATTCAAACAAACTGGCATGCCAGGCTGTTTACCCGCTTCACCAGTGCGTAGTGGATAAGGTGTTTGGTCACACAAAGAGCCAGGGAGGGCTCCTCAGCGTAAGTATTCCTGCTTCTGCCTGGCAGAAACATTAATGGAGTCAGGCATGCAAAGTAGGTCTCTAGCTGTTTCAGCAGCAGCAGCACTGAGATGAAGAGGGTGGTGACAACGTAAGTGCAATGAACTAGTATGGGTTAGGGCAGCTCTTCTCTCTTGTGTGATGTAGGTCTTTTTCCCTTCATGGCATAGGCCATCCTGAGCACTCTGGGGTACAGATTGCTGGTTACTTCACCTAGGTCGGGTGAGGAGGTCTGGTAAGACTCTGAGGTGCCCTCATAAGAGCCACATTTTGGGAAGACAGCCCTTCAGTCACATGACAATGAATATGTAGCATTACATTGACTGTGAAGAGAATGCAAAAAGATGTGGGTATTAGCTCAGCAGATATTGCTTGTGCATCTAACTCTGAGGACTGCAGGGTCTTTCACTGGGACTGATGCCCTGGGTAAGGGTTTCCAGGTCAGGTCCTCCTGGGTTACAGTATTTGGGGACTGTTGTTAATCTCATTCCTTGCGAGCTATGACAAGAAAGACAGCAGGCAGGCTGCGATCTGTACATGGTGGTATTGGAAGGACCCCTAGGGGCAGCTTGGAATACGACAGAAAACTGGATAAACGGCTGCGAAGACCTATGTTATGTCCACTTCCTAACACCCTGTTAAGTCAAAATCAGCTGTTGTCTGTGGCTGCAAGGAAGGCACAAGGCTGGCAATGGCTCTGTACTGGCCTCTCACAGTACCAATGCGAAATTGTATCTGGCAAAGAAGATGGGGGAATCAACATGCAGGGCTGAGTTGAATTCAGTGCTGATAGCTCTGTTTTTATCACAGCTGCTGCCTTGGTAAGGAATGACACAGGTGACACCAGATTCTGTTTGCCTTTCAGCTTTCCTTTCCACACAAGACACTGTTGTTGATGTCCAGTGACCAACAAGATATTAATGACTGGTATCAGAGTCTTGCAGCTGCAGTCAGGTAGGGCTCAATTTTCCAAGGGAGAAAGGGGCTGAGGGAAGGGGGTGGAACATAAAAATGGTCATATGGACTTGTGTATTTGCATGTATTACATGGTTATGAGGCTGACAGAGAAGACCTGGCTCTAGCAGCTAGGGTACAAAGGAATACTGGGAACAGATTTCATGTATGAACAGTGAACTCCCCTTTGTTCTTCCTCTACAGGCAGCTGAAAGCCTGACCCACTCCAGTAGAAGACAGACTGTCAGGACAGTCGCCTCTCTTTGTAGAAACCTACACAATCTTAGGAAATGTTCAAGGACATATAATAAGAGAATGCATTTATAGGGACTACCACTGTGCTTGTGAGACTGAATGAATGCTTTGTCAGCTGTCCTAATCTTAACACAGATACTGAAAAAAATAGATATGCACACTGAGGATTTGTATATAAAAAATCTGTATCATGACTTTTCCCCAGTTTAGCTTACAAGCTTCTAGCTCTTCTATGCTTATTCCCCACCCCTCTTACATTATTAAGGACAAGCGTGAGAAAGTCTGACTTGCTTTCCCTCATTAAATATTTTTATCCATCTGTGTTTCTAAATCAGTATTTTCACATTTATTTGTCTACATGTATTTCTACCTGCTCTTGTTACTGGGTCCTTTGATCAAAAGGGATGGTTTGGAAAACGGTAACATGAGCTTAACACTGTATTTTCAGCTAGTACTAGAGGGCCACAGCCATCTTCCTCCTTTGACATATTTTCATCATTCATTGAGTTTTCTGCCAAAACAGTTTCACAATTATTGCCTCTCCTCCTCTAAGAAAGCAGGCAGATAAAGGGAAGATCATTCAGTGGTTAAAATCCTATCTCTCAGATGCTCATCAATCCCACAGAAAAGTTAATCTGCTGAACTATCTGAAATAAACTGGTAGGTAACATAGATGTAGGTTTATCAAACAGCATTCACACTTCTAATCTGAATTCTGAGAAATTATGCAGATGAAACAGCACTTGCCTTTGTCCTCCCTGGTATGCAGCAGCCTTGAAATGCTGAAATGAAAAGCTCAAGCAGCACCTCTGCTTCTGAAGCACACAGGAGGCTACAGTCAGTACTCTGGGTCTTCAATAGCTGGTAACGTGCTAGGTAGGATTCAGCTTACAAGGCTGAAAAACCAATTTAAGGAAGAAATATACATAAGGTATTCTTGAGTATTTTGTTAAAGCCTCAACACAGAATTGGGGTTGGTGTTGTGACCGATCCTGTTTAATGTTGCCTGCAACATGGACAGTGGAATTAATGCATCCTCAGCTAGTTTGCTGATGACACCAAGCTGTGTCGTGCAGTTGACATGCTGGAGGGAATGGATGCCATCCAGAGGGACCCTGACAGGCTGGAAAGGTGGCCAGTACCACCCTCATGAAGTTCAACAAGGCCAAGTACAAGGTCCTGCACCTGGATTGGGGCAATCCCAGCAGAAATACAGTAAATACAGTCTGGGTGAAGAAGGGATTGAGAGCAGCCCTTGGGGAGAAGGACATGGGGGTGTTGGATGATGAGAAGCTCAACATGAGCCAGCTTCAGTGCGTGCTAGCAGCTCAGAAACCAACCGTATCCTCGGCTGCATCAAAAGCAGCATGACCAGCAGGTCGAAGGAAGTGACCCCACCTGCAGTCCTGTGTCCAGCCCTGGGTCCCCCCGCAAAAGACGAACATGGAACTGTTGGAGCGAGTCTAGGGGAGGCCACAGAAATGCTCCAAGGGCTGAAGCACCTCTCCTGTGAATCAGACTGAGAGAGTTGGGCTTGTTTGGCATGGAGAGGTGTCTAAGCATCTCTCCAGCACCTAATGGGGGTCTACAAATCTGGAACGGGCTTTTTAGAAGGCTATGTAGTGACAGGACAACAGGTAACAGCTTTAAACTGACAGATTTACATTAGGTATGAGGTAAAAGTTCTTTACCATGAGAGTGGTGAGGCACTGGCACAGGCTGCCCAGAGAAGCTGTGGCTGCCTCATCCCTGGCAGTGTTCAAGGCCAGGCTGGACGGGGCTTAGGGCAACCTGCTCTAGTGGAAGGTGTCCCTGCCCATGGCAGGGGGGTGCTGGAATCAGGTGATCTGTAAGGTCCCTTCCAACCCAAACTATTCTATGACTTTGAATGATGTGGAAGCTCTGCAGCAGTAGAAGTTTGGCTCATCTTCTGAGTCACAGAACATCTGTTCGAACAATTGCAAGGTGGCCAACTTGAAGGTCATTAGAAACATAAAGATTGAGGTCTGTCAGAGTATCACTTCTACTAGTTTTAACCATTTTTTCCTGCTTCAACAGTACCACACACTTATTAATTTCTCACTGGAATTCATTAAAACAGAAATAGTACTGTGTAAAACAAGTGTCCTGATGGTTTTTATCTTTCCATACAGCTACCTTACTATACAGGATCACTTATTTGTCTTGTGAAACTCAACAAGGAAGGAACCCAACATGTTTAGTGGTGTGGGGTTTTTTTTTGTTTGCTGCATTTTGTGTTAGTTTCTTGGAGGGTTTTTCTGCAGAAAGTTACCAACTCATGTGCACAGGAATATAACCCAAATAGAAGCAAACCCACTTTTGAACAGAGTTTATTTACAGAGAGTGTATCAGCCATTAGGTCACCCAGCTTGATTTCCTTCTCTTTGCCAACACTCTATTCACACCACACGAAGAAGCAAGTACCTTCTGCTTCCACCATGGCAACTCAAGGGTAGTAATCAACCTTCAGGACACCACGCCTCCACATACTCCAGGACGGCAACAGGCTGGCTGGTGCATGGGTTGCTGATGCCAAGCCCCGTCCCTGTGCACCCAGGGGCAGAGGGGGCTGCCTACACCGGGGTGCCCCCGGCGGCCTGTGGGGCTGCCGCCTGTTGCATGTCCTCCCTGTAGCCCTTCAGGAGCTGGTTGAGCAGCGTTTTCTCGCTGTCGCGGCGCTGGCGGATAAGCGGTGGCAACGGGTTTCCCTTGAGCTCGATGACTGCCATTTTGGCACGGTCAAGGCCATCCCGGTTGGGAATATGCAGCATGCGGGTGTAGTTGCCGGAGTGGGGCTGGAACCGGGGTGCCAGCACCTTGAACAGCTTGTGGATGAGGTCCTTCTCCTGCGGGGCAGCACACTCAGCGCCAGCACCGCGGCTGGAGGGGGTGAAGAGGGATGTGGAGTGGAAGGGGGTAGGTACCTACCGTCAGCCAGAAGTCTGCCATGCGCATGGCGCGCTCGTTGGCGTCACCCAGCTTGGCGTACTCGATAAGCTGCAGGTGAAAACAGGCAGCGCCCTTAGGGTCCCTGGGCCGCCCCCCCCAGCCCCGTCCCGTCCCGTCCCGTCCCCTCCGCTCACCTTCTCGGCGTAACCCCTCATCTCGTCGGCCCGCGCCCAGGGCGCTTCGATCCGTTCGTGCCGCACCAGCGCCGTCACCAGGTTGCGCAGAAGGTCGAGGCGCGACCGCGGGCCCAGCCCCAGCCGCCGGAACACGCGGCCATGGGAGATGGCGGCCGGCACCGACAGACGCATCCCGCCGCCCTCACGGTCTCTCCCGGCGCGGCCCGGCCCAGCCCGACTCTCCGCCGCGGGGCACCGTGGGATGCAGCGCCCGGCAGCCCCCGCCCTGCCGCGCTGCACGACGGGAGCTGTAGTTCCGTGTTGCTGTCGCTGAGGCGACACGGTGGACCCGCGGCCAGGCCGTGCCGGCGGCCGGGCAGGGTGGGCTCTGAGAGGAGGAAGGAGGGCAGCCGGTCTCCGTGGTGCCCGCACCGCGGCTGTGATGGGGTGCGGAACACTGTCCTCATGGGGTCTTTGTCTTATTCCCTCCTTCACCCCAGTACCGGTGATGCGATGCCAGAGGAGCTTCAGACCCCTGTATCGCATCCCCATGCTGCGCAGGAGCTGTGTATACCGGCAGCATGGGGTAAGGCTGGATCTCACCTCAAGAAGCCCTCCTAGGGTGCAGGAGCTGCACCATAATTGTGGAGGCGTGTGTCTGTTGTATTTACACAAACTAGCCCTGTTCTGCAAGAGCTCATGTCCACCTGAGGTTCAGCAAGTGCAAAAGGTAAAATCCCAGTATGGATACAGGCTGGGGAGCAATGGGATTGAGAGCCCTGTGGATAAGGACTTGGAGTACTGGTGAATGAAAGATTTGGTACGAGGGGGCAACGTGCGCTTGCAGCCCAGAAGGCCAACTGTATTTTCAGCTGCACCAAAGCAGCATGGCCAGCAGGTCACGGGAGGCGATTCTGCCCCTCTGCTCTGGTGAGACCCCACCTGTGTCCAGCTCTGCAGTCCTCGGTACAGGAAAGACATGGACGTGTTGGGAGAGGGTCCAGAGAAGGGCCACAGAAATGATGAGAGGGCTGGAGCACCTCTCCTGTCAGGAAGGGTTGAGAGAGCTGGGCTTGTTCAGCCTGGAGAAGACTCCAGGGAGACCTTATTGTGGCCTTTCAGTTCTTACAAGGGGCCTGTAAGAAAGATGGGGAGAGACTTTTTAGCAGGGCCTATATGCAACAGGAAAAGGGGTGATGGTTTTAAACTAGAAGAGGGGAGATTCAGGCTGGATGTGAGGAAGGAACTCTTTACAAAGAGGGTGTAAAACACTGGCACAGGTTGCCCAGAGAGGTGGTGGATGCCCCATCCCTGAAGGCCAGGTTGGATGTGGTTCTGGGCAACCTGATCCAGTTGATGATGTTCCTGCTCATTGATGGGGGGGTTGGACTAGGTGAACTTTGAAGGTCCTTTCCAACCCAAGCTATTCATATATCTATGGTTCTCTGTTTCAGTACTCCTGGCAATGTAATTCATCTCCAAGAAAAATGCTGAAGAGCAGCGTAAGGAGATTTTCTTCTATTTGTTTCCTCAAGCCAACATTTCTGTGTTTTGAGGGATTGTAACAAAAGCAGCTACCAACAGGGTAAGAAAAAATATCTTTGTTATTATGAATACAGCATAAAATCACAGTCATTTTATACAGATTTTAGTATTTCATATATAAATAAAGTGAACTGTATAGTTACTGGAATGTGTAATAGGAACAAACATATGGATTTTAAGTGACATTTACAAATTCTTGGGCCCCACCCCCATCTTTTGTTGCTTCTCTGGGGCTCAGAGTATTAACTCTGAAATACTTCTAGGAAGAAGGTTACTCAAGCTGTGATGCCACCAATAACTCCAGGCATTACCTTAATTCCATTTACAATGAGTTCTCCTCATTTTCCTGATTTAGCCTGTGAATTCTGTGTCAGTATCCCCACATTGCAAGAAAGATTAATCCTGCATGTATTTGACACAGTGTTGAAAGAAAACATTTTCCAAGCTTTATAATTTTGTTAAACTCATTAACAATCAGCATTTTCCCATCACTATACACTCTTGCAAATGTTTCCATTAAATATATTTCTAATATTAATAAAATAACAAACTCTTTTATTATTCTTCTGCTTATAACTTGATGTCTTAACATCAAAATAGTATTTCTTTCTAATAAAATTATACATAGTATTTATATGAAACAAAGTTGTGCATGAGCCAAGTAATGAAAGTAGGCATGAGCGTATGTGTTTCTACATTCTGATTTTGGATTCTTGGGGGAGTTTGTTATTTTTGGAGCCACAGAATAATAAATAATTTATAAGGTAATGACTTCCCTGGCTACCAGGTAACTAACTGAAGACTGGAAATGATTCCTGCTCTGGCTTTATGAAACTTTGGGTACGCTGAAGAAAATGGCACTTTTCTATCTGTGTGTCTTTATCCAGAAATCTTAATTAAATGTTTCTGGTACAATGTGTTATGAAAGTTATCACAGAGTGAGTGAGGAATAGAATGGGAGAGGCTTATGCAAAGATATTAGCTGCATGCAAACAGAAAGCTGAACCTTCACAGCCAGTTCTCCTCTGAGGGACTCTCCCTGCTGGAGGAATTCCTATGTCTTCTTGGGTGGATTTAATCTCTACCATGATGTCTCCTCCTTGTTGCTGGGACTCAGCCAACAGCTTGGGAGCAGGGAGTCTGGAAAGAGGAGGGTGAAGTACAAGGACAAAACCAAGGGGCACTTTCCTTCATCTTTTTTGATGGAGTAGGCACATCTGTTGGAAACTGAACTCTAGACTGTGAAAACTAGTGATGCAGACTCCAGAAAGGGAAGTTTCTGAGGTTCCCATTCAGAAAGGCATATGAACATGTGTCGTGTTCTATGTTTAAAGAGTCTGTAGGACAGCTTTTTCTGCTTACACTGTGCTTATAGTGAAGCAAGCATTTTATCTACTTTCCTGGCCCAGTCTTAGAATTTCCCTTCCATACTTATGCTCAGCAGGGCAACTGTCACCTACCCCTGAGATTGATGGTCAAACTGTAGGAACTTCTCGTTTGGTATTTTTCTATATTTAGAAAAGCAGAGCTTAGAACTAAAATAAGTGCCTTTTTTAGAACACATCTTCTTGTGATCAGGGGTCAACAGAATTTAGTTGGTGTGTAGGAAGCAATTCATCAAACTCATTTTTCAGTATCTGATGGTAAAAAAACCCTGCAGCTGACAGTGCTGTAGTGGGAATCAGCCTTATCCAGCAGGTTGTGGGGTGTGGTGGTAAACATATGCAAGAGTTACATTATTTGTAGGAGTTACAAATATAACATTTGACATTTAATTTACTTAAAATTGCATATTCATGAATGATGTTATTTTTATCTATTTGTCTTTGTAAAATTAAGAAAATCAGTAACAAGTGCCTCCATTTATGCTGTCTCAGAGGTTTCTTTCAGCCTGCTGCATATAAGACCATCTGTCTTTTCGCCAAAAGTTCCTTCCCCAAGCCTTACTGATGTCTTTATTACGTGGTTCACAAGACTGCTTGGATCTGCAGCTGCTGGCAGAGCCCCTCCCAGAGGAGAAGCCCAAAGACCACAGTATGAGAGCACTACCACTTTTGCTAAGCTATCCCAGTGACTTGGTCATTGCTTTGTAAATATTGAAATACATATAATGTGAAGAGGAATACAGAACATTAAGGGTCTTAAAGCTAATGCCCTTGCTTGTGGCATAGTGATAGTAACAAGTTGGGAAACAATCAGAGGAATTAACACATTGTCTTAAGATAATATAAAAAAGATAGGAAGGATCTAGATAGCCAGCTGTTTATACAGCATAACTTGTACTGGTGATGTAGAGATTACACCAACTGTCTTTTGGCCTGGAAGTATGGAAGGGAATCCAAACCTTTACAGGCTATCTTTAAAGGGCTCCTTGTATTTTTATGTATATGTATTCTGTTAGAACAAGCCCTGAAAAACATGGCAAAATAAGGTTTTGCTTTTCATTTGTAACGTGGACGTGAGCCAGCACTAAACATACTGTAAAAGTAGCAGCTACACAGATACAACATAGAAGTTTTGTGCTTAATATACTCCTTTATCTTCTAAGCATGGCAAAGTCCTCAGCAGCTGTCATAATCCAAAATAAACGGTAACATACATCATCCATGAGGTATGATCTAACTTGTGCATCCAATTTTCCAGTGTAAAAAAAGGGCACTCTTGCTCATCCCTCTTCACAAATATGGGATCCCATGTGCAGTACCTCACCTTAGCCATCCTTGTACCAGTTGAAGTGTTCTGTCATTTGCACTCCTGCTCCTACTCATACTCCCCGTATAACCCAGCCAAATACACTGCAACATTGTGTTCCAGCTCTGTGAATGCAATTTAGGTTGCTCTGATACAGCAGAGGGAGGAAACAGATGGAAGCTCTTTGCAAACATGAGGCCTCTCTCTGGTCTTGTTTCACCTGGACTTCAGCATTTCACCAAGGAAGACACGCACCCACAGGAAGTCACACTCTGACTCTTTCTGCAAGGCTGGGATTGGTTTTGTACTTGCCAGTAAGCCTACTTGACTCACTTACAATTGGTGTTCCTGCTTTATACATCCCCCATTTTCTTGCTCATCTTTGTGTAATATTTCCAGCATGAATCTATTGAGGAAGGGAACTGGCCTTCACACTCAGTAGCGGGTGAGTGGTAAAGGAAAAGTAGTGGTATATCTTTTTGACTCTTTTTGAACAATAGCAACACAAAGATAAATAATTTCTCCATCAGGAAGTAGTGCCCTTGTATCATTGTTTCACCTTTTTTTTTTTTTTTTGCCTTTTTCTGTCATGCGGGAGCATAATAGAAGAAGATATCTCACAGCTAGCCTGTGGCCTATGCTGTGAAACAGGGATCCACTTCTCCTAAAACACTTTCGTAAGCCTGGGGACAGTAGGTGGAGACTTGAGTTCAGTGATGCAATACGTTTACATGTATAAAGTAATCGTGGACAAAGGTTTTCATTATTAGTGTCATTCAGGGATAGTGTTCAGCTACATGTCTATCCCTGGCAAAATTTGGGTACTGGGTCATTTGGACATATAATGCAAAGTAGGCAGATGAAATGCTGTGGTCTAGTTAATCCTAGAGCATGCCTGAATTGTATTATACACTAAGAAGTTTTTCTTGACAATCTAGTACAATGCACAGTGCAGGCTTGACAGTATGGAATTACTACAAGGAGGCTACCATGAATCTGGAAAGCTACAGTACAGGCAGCATGGTTGGGGAAAAGCAGAGAGAAAATTGGGAAATAATATATATATAAGTATATATATATATTTTACATTGTCAGTGCATTTTTATACTGAAGGGGCTCTATTTTTTCAGTAGGCATAGCTAAGGATGGGCTGCCTTCTGTATCCTGGAGTCTCTGGGTTCTGCCCTTGGTTTGTAGTCTTCTCCAGATCCAAAATCTACTGTATCATGATAGTTTGTAAATTCCTGAGGTAATGGAAACTCCTCTGTTGATGAATGAGTCCTGTGTCCAAATACTCGCTCTTGCAGCTCAGCGATGTCATTTCTGATGTCTGCCATCATCAGCAACAGGAAATCAAATGAACCTGGTGGGCCCTGCAGTCACAAGGCACAGTCAGAAATAATAACCCACTTCGGCCTCAGAGTTTTCAAACAGGTTGATATAATTACTCTTGCAGGGATAACCCGGTATAATACTGCTTCATATCAATTCCCTAATCTTAATGCTCTGATTTTGAATCAGCTGGCTCAGGCAACAATTTTCAAAAGAAGGCAAATGTTTTTGCAGACAGGGTAATTTACATTTATAAGAGGCTCAGACCTTCAGTTACTTAACAATTCCTTTGCTATATCTGCCTCCTAAGATTATCTTAACATATTATGAAGATTCTCCTCATGGGAACAGAGGAGATAAATCTTGGTTCCTTGTGTTCCTTCTTGTTAAACTGATAGAAATTACACACCTAGAATGACTTATCAATCAACAATTATTATCTCTTTAAATATTTTCTTAAGAATGCTAGTATTTGAAAAGTGTAATTTCAATATGGTAACCTTGCTGCTGTCCATCAGTTACTAAAAATATTGGCAATTACAATGCAGAGAGTAGCCATCTGGTTTTATCTGATTTTGGAAAATCATCATCTCTTTTTAGATGACTTCACACAGTAAAGTACACTGTTTAATACTGAGGACATCCTGCTGGACACACCCTTAAAAATCCATTCCATGACTGAGAAAACACCATAATAAATAGATTTTTAAACAATATAACTTGAAAAAAGATTCTAAATATTCATCCTTTTCCTGATGTCTTGCTCAAAGCCTATAGCTTCCCAAAGCCTAGAGAGAGATGACGGGCAGGATTCCAGGTTCCAGGGCTCAAACTCCCATAAAGAGCAGTGACAGAACTGTACTAACTTATACTCTACATGGGATCTCACGCTCCTGCCTTCTGAGGATGTCCTACTGCTGTTGTAGGGCAGGGGTGTACTTGTTGCCTTCAGTGACCACCCAGCAAGGGAAGAGGTGTGTAGGCAAAAACACTTGGATGAAAACAGGTAACTACTTTCTTTACAATAATATTTTCTGTGCATGTAAAGTATCTTTCACTTTTTTTTTTACATGAGATTTCTTTCTTTGTTTGTTTTCCTTTCGTCTGACTTGTGGTATGTAGTCAGCATCATTCTGTTGTGGAAATTCTTCTTCTGAGCAATACTTACAGGTATCCCTTTTGGTCCTGGTGCACCTCGCTCCCCCTGTAATCAATACCACCTCAATTACTTTGTTGTGACAAAAGGAAATGAAAAAAAATCACAGTTTGTCTCTGCCAGCTTCTTTACTTAACTGTCCCTAGACCGAGAATCATCACTGTACGCTTGTTCAGAAAAAGAAAGTGAAGGAGGAAGGCAAGGAAATTGCTGCTAATTCTAGTGGCAACAGAGTTGGGCACGTCTAATATTTCTCTTAGACTGTAACAAGCAAACCCTTTAACAGGAGAAATTAATGAAATGGGTAAAGCATCAACATTTCTTCATGGAAAAGGTAAAAAAGCAGCACAGAAAGGAAAGGAAGCTGCTGGACACAGAGCCTGGCAGGGCTGTTTCCCAGGCTTAGGGAATGGCAAATACAAAATAGCAGAAGGAAGACATGAAGGGATGAGACAACAGGATGTTTGCAGCTTAATAAAGGAAATGAGATGGTAAAAGGGTGTGACTACAATCTTGCAGAGGGTCTCTCTAGCAAACCTGCACTTCACATGTACATGTGCCCACATTATGAAAAACAGTACCTCTCCTCACCTTGCTGCCATCTCTCCCTGGGGCTCCTGGTGGACCCTGCAAAAGAAAAGGAAGTGTTTGCAGGGACATCAGCAGCTGTGCAGCTAAGGCCAATTGTGCAATCCACAATGGGAGATAAGAGTACTGACCACGGGGCCCCGTCTGCCCTGCTTAATGTGTGATATGTCTGGAGATGGGCCCATAGGTCCCATTGATCCACGGGGTCCTGGCTGTCCAGGAGGTCCAGGTGACCCAGGAACTCCTTGACTCCCTTTTGGTCCTGGCGCCCCTGCAATCAACAGCAAAGGTTACCTCCTTAGGAAAAGCCGTCAGGACACGTGATCAGTGCAAGCAGTGGGGACTGACCATTTTTTGAACCACCCAATGAACTGGTTGCCTTAAGACACCCAAATCCATAACAGAACAACCAACACAGCAATCATCTGAGACTGTATAACTCCTTGTCACAGTAGCTACAAGAGATGTTCAGAAAACAATTAAACCTTGTATATACAAGGAAGCCAAGACTGTCAGGTGATTAGGGACACAGAGTGGGAATGAAAAGAAAAGCAGAAATGCCATATTTTCACACAAAGAAGAAAGGAACAAGTCTCATAAAACTCATAGGAATGTTAGATCAAAGACATCTACTATGCATGACTGGCACAGAAACAAGCAAGCCCTTTTCAGTGGTGGGTTGCTTCTGTTGCGTCTTTCTTTTGTCCAGTATGGTAGCCCATGTATTAGGGGCAAAAAAGTCTCTGTTATTCCATTTTGGTTTACATCCTTTTCAGCTTCTGCTGGTTCAGCAGAGAACGTTAATTTTCAGGAAGCACATAAGCCACAAAACGTATGTTTAGCTCAAGAGGAACACTATGAAAAGCAAAAAAGGAAATCTGGCACCTGAAACAACATTTGCACAATATAAAGACCATTAAAGTATCACTCGCTGAATTGCTTAATAGGGGAAAGCACTTTTCTTCATACTGAAGGCATGTGAAGCACATATAAAATGAAAGAGAGTAGAAGGGGTTCAGCAGGACAGAATACATATAGTTAGGGTTTTCAAAAGGAGTAAAATCAAGTTCAGTTTTGAACCTCAGACTCCTAGAGATCCAGCAGCACTGTTGCTGGCAGCAGAGCAGACAGGAAGTGAGCAGGAGTGGTTTTCTAGTGGAAAAGAACATTCTACAGCACCTTGGAGAGCTCAGTCATGGGGGAACCACATGGAAGACCTGCAGAGTCAGGCCTACGTTGGACTGTACAGTGCAGAGCCTGAGACAGAATCTCTAACCATATTGTCCTTGCACTTCTGATATACTGAAGACTGAAGATACTCATCCTTCAAGAAAATGAGATAAAGACACAAAACCAAAGCAAGACTGCAAAAGTGGGAATAAATGTGTGTGTGTGTGCGCGCGCAGCTCGATTGTAAGTAAATAAAACCTTGTAAGGAATATCTGCTACTCCTCTGGAGAATACTCCTGAAAGCCAGCACAATGCTAAAATTCCTTGGAGTCATCGCTATCCCAAAATTAGATGTGCATTCAACAGAGTTTGCAAAATTGTTAGCATCACTGGTTGCAAGGTGTCTGGCTTAAGTCAGAGCTTTAGGAGTTCTCTGCTTTTATGACTTTTCAAGCTATACCTTAGCAAAGAAGGTGTGAGTAGAGTTTTATGTTTCTTTTCAGATTCCTTTGAATCTGGAATACAACCTAAAAACACCAAATGAATCCTTGCAAAACCAAATGAGTTAAAATGGAAGAGCTGGCACCAAGCCCCACAGACTGAAAGCACATTTTCTGTTTTACTAATGATAGTGAGCTAAAGCAATAGGCATTCCTGAAATGAAATGGAGAGTGTTTTAAGACAGATTTAATATGCAGGAAATGGCAATTGAAGCAGGTGAGATATCCCAGGGAGAGGGAGAAATTTAACACATACAGGACAAACACAGGTTGCATGCCAAAAAACACATGGAGACTAAGACACAATGGATGATGTTGAACAGTTGGCAGAGGCTGACCATAATGACCAGAAAGTTTTTAAATTTAGCACAAACACAATGATAACAATCAAAATATGAAACACATTAAATCTGATCACACTAAAAGATGTGCTGATGACCTTTATTCATAGTACTATTGCACATTCATGTCTCTCTCATCTGTATCTTACCTGGAGGGCCTGGTTGGCCAGGCTGGCCTGGGGGGCCAGGGATATATGCATTAGATGCAAGCACTTTTTCACCAGTGATCTGCTTGCTAAGATCAGCAGCATTATTTGGTAGAAAAGCAACCTGCCAAAACCAAAAATCAGTGTAAGCCCTTCACCATTCAGCTGGATAAATTACATTCTTGGTTAAGCTTTCATGTGGACAAACAGCATATTTATGTTCTCCAGGAAAATACAAAATGTTTAATCATATCCTTCACTGAAATAATCAGAAAAAAAATGTTACTGTTTAAGGCTGTTCACTTTTCAAGCCACTGTGGAAATACTGCAATTCAATCCAAATGGAGGGCAGGAGAAATTCAGGAGACATACAGCAGCATGTTGTCAAAAACTTGTCTTATAGCTGCTTGGATGTTCTTAGGAAAACTTTTTCCTTCTTTAAAGTTTTCTCTGTTCATTTACTGCTCTTTCTCAGGACAACATTAGCTCAGATACCTGAGTTCTCAGTTTCTGCACAGCCTGTAACTTTTCACAGGTTTCAGCGACAGCGCCCAATCCTTTGTGTATCTGGCCCTGTAAGCCTACTGTTTAACCTGACAGATGTGTGGATCTGCTCTGCATAGAAACACAAAGCTAAAGTAAGTGAGAATGTCAGGAGAATTGCACACTGTAGTTTAAAATGTCATTATCAATTACATCAGATCCTTAATTACCCATGAAATATTAATCTGCCCAGATGGAATATATTTAATAATTAAACTCTTTTTTTCTACAGTGAGTTTACAGCATTGATGAATAACAGAAGATCGACTGATGTCATCTACCTGGACTTCTGCAAAGCATTTGACACTGTCCCACACAACATCCTTTCTCTGGATTGGGAAGACATGCATATGATGGATGGAACACTCAGTGCATAAGGAATTAGCTGGATGGTCACACTCAAAGACTTGCAATCAACAGCTCGATGTCCAAGTGGAGACCAGTGACAAGTGATGTTCCTCAGGGATCGGTGTTGGGTCTGTCACTGTTTAACACCTTTGCTGGGGACATGGACATTGGAATTGAGTGTGCCCTCAGCAGGTTTGTTGCTCTGGGGTCCCCAGCATAAGAAAGACATGCAGTTATTGGAGCAAGTCCAGAGGAGGCCACAAAGATGATCTGAGGTCTGGGGCACCTCTGCTATGGAGAGAGGCTGAGAGAGTTGGAGTTCAGCCTGGAGAAGAGAAGGCTCTGAGGACACCTTAGAGCAGCTTCCAGTGCCTAAAGGGGCTGCAAGAAATCTGGAGAGGGACTTTTAACAAGGGAGGGAGGTAGGGATAGAACAAGGGGGAATAGCTTTAACCTGAATGACGGTAGATTTAGATAGATATGAGGGACAAGTTCTTCCCCATGAGGGTGCTGAGGCACTGGCACAGGTTGCCCAGAGAAGCTGTGGCTGCCCCATCCCTGGCAGTGTTCAAGGCCAGGTTGAACGGGGCTTGGGGCAACCTGCTCTAGTGGAAGGTGTCCCTGCCCATGGCAGGGGGTTGGAACTGAGTGAGCTTTAAGAGCCCTTACAACTTAAACCATTCTGTGATTCTTTGATTCTGTCATATTTAGAAGTATTCTGCAAATGTTTTGTCTCTCCAGATCCAGCTGAAGGGAGATGACAAGGCAGGCAGCTGGTTTGCAGTGAGGAAAGAAGATTATTACTGGCTGGTGACTGCATGTACAGTTGGGAATTTTGCTCTGCCAAATGGAACAAAGAGTTATTTGAGCAATACCGGGGCAGATCTACTCCTGGGTCAGCTCTGTAGCTCCTTGAATGAATTTGGTTCAGTGGTGATGCTGGATTCTGCAATATTTGTGTGGGAGAGCTTCATTAAATAAAATACATGATGACTCCTGCTACCTGTCAATGCTTTTAATCAGCTCTTTGGAATTCCCTGCACAGGGCTGTTCTCAAGATCCATGCTTTCTTCTGTAATTTTTTGATGCGCATGCTTCTGGCCTTAGTGCAAACCTAATGTTTGTAACACACAGAGGAAAAAAAAATGCTATGCACTTGCAGTACGCACTGTAATTGGGCAAATTTCTTTTGTCAAGTTATTACTTAAGTATGCACTTTAAGGGCAGCTAGTGATGCTTGTAGTTTGGTGTCTGGATGCACAGAACAGTTCTGAGGGAAGCAAAAGTGAGGGGAAAAAAGACTTAAAAAAGTTAGAAATATTAAGACAGTTCATGGTGGCATTTCCGAAACACCAGTTTGATTTTTCAGAGTGCAATTCAAAACACGATGACAGGAATACAAAGATTTATCAGTCATTTGTTACTCAGGTTTTGGAGAACATTGCTGTTTCAAACACAAGATGCACTAAAGACAAATCAAGTGATGTAAGTCTTACAAGAATTTGGTAGAGTCAGTCCACCCCCACAGAAATCAGTGACTGGATGAAGTCAGCACATCACAGAAGCCCCACAGGGTGTTTCTTATGAGCTTACTCCTATGAATCTGCTCACATAAAAAATGGGGATCCAGCACACCTACTGCTTTGGGCTGGACTGTCATCTATGGTTTTACAAGGAAAAACATCTGCTTTGTCTACTAATGATCCTGCAGCTTTCTCAGCCAACATCCCAGCCATTGTAGCACACAACAAAGTGTGGGACCACTGGAAAGGCTCCTCCATGGGTCACAGTACCTTATGCCTGGGGCTAAAGAGGAAGATTCAGTAGCTGGGAGCTCTCACAGCCATACTTGCCAGGGACCAGCATGGGGAGGTCAACTGCACAGCTCTGGTCAGCACACTTTAAAGTTTTGTTTCCTGGTGCAAGGTCCTGTCCAAAGGAGGGTCCTGACTGGATATAAATGGAATGGTTGCAAGGACCATCATGCTGCAAAACCTTCACTATGTGACTCTAGTCAAGGACTTTGCAGTGCTAATGCTGCCATGCTTAAACCAAGAAAGAGTTAAATAGTGTGACTACCTAAAAGCGCTGGATTTTCCAGGCAGTTTTTGTGAGAATATTTTCAGTGTCATCAGTGAGTGCTTCTCCTTAACGTCAGTGAGTATTTCTCCTTAAGGGTGTGCACAGCTGAGTGACAGCTTAATTGATGTCCTCTTTAGAGCTTGTACTTAAATTTACTACCAGATCCTGTTTTGGAGATGTATAGCTATCTCAGCTAATAAATAGACATCACTTAGTATTAGTCCCTGCCATGAATATAACTCTTAAGATTTATCATGAATAGGATTTGAAAGTGTATTCTTTTCTGTTGCTTAAATATTGACTTGTTCCTGCCAGCAAGGCTGTTGTAATAACTAAGTTTAAAAAAAAGATCAGATAGCTGCTGTGAAAGCATCTACACATGCTTCCCCACTGAGTCAGATGGACCTGAGGCATACACTGAGAGTGCCAAAATACCCAGTCTCTGGTCTAGCTCACTGCTCTTTGATATCTTCTGGCCAGAAAATGGTTGTTACATGCACTGGGGCCAAGCCATGTGTTTTTGATGTTGACTCACATCCTCTTTGGGATTGGCTATACTCGCTGGCCTAATTTCTATTTCACCTTTTAACTGAACCAGGATCATCTTCTAGAGTGACCTTGGCTTTCTCTGTCCACAGCTCCAAATCTTAATGGCCCTTGGAAAATATTTTTTTTTGCTTTCCATGTGCATGCAAATATTAGGGTAAATTTTAAAGAAAGAGAGTACTAAAACCAAGACTCCCATATGCTGTGTTGCATGCTGCATCTGGAGTTTTGAGTAGTTTCTAGGAGATGTGTGGTTTAGGTGACTTTGACAGTGCTTGACAGAAGTGATGTGGAACATGGTTTTCTAATTAAACACGTCTCTGTAATAGGATCCAGCTTACTTGGTGGTTGTTTTTTTTTTTTCTGTTTTAAATTGTTGGCTGAGTGTCAGCATGTTAGATACATTTCTCCCAGTTTTTCAGCTTTCCATTCTTCTTCCTTCCAGCAAGGTCTGAGATCAACAAAGGACTGCCCACAGTTCCCTAGTATCTTGGAACAGTGCATCCAACTGGATTAACCATGCAAGGTGACTTTCTGTTCCTGATCCTAGAACTACTTTTTCCTGCATCCTTTCATGGATGTCGCAATCCTCCAAAAAGGTATTGGTGCCATCACCAGAGGTAGCAGGACTTGAGTTCACCCTGTCCTTTCTGAAGGAGACACAAATCCACACCTCCCACTTCCAGAAGCATACACCAGTTCCCAATTGTAGAGTTTGCTGGATTGGATCCTTCACAGGCTCTTCTGCTAAACATAATTTTGCATAAAGTTCATAAAATCTGAAAGCCTTAACCACAAAACTGAAGACTCATTCCCATAAACTGTGTCTCTGGCAGACAGAAGTGAATTTTTCTGTGCAAACCAGAACAGCTTCAACCACAGATATTAAGAGACATCCTCCCCAGAAGAACTTGGCCAGGAGGAGCAGCTGGTGAAACACAAGGGTCCATCTCCTTGTGGGCAGAGAAGCAGCACGAGGTTAGGTCTCCTCTCTGTGGGATAAAAAATGCTGAGGGTATCAGAGACCACCTCTTCCAGCCCTGTCTGTGTGAGGCACAACCCGGGGCTCCCTCTGAGGATGCCAAATAAATTAATTCCCACTAGGAAGATACTTAGGGAAAATTTAAGCTGTAGACCATGACAGGACTTGGCTATGAAGCAAAAGTGAGCTGCTTAGTTTGGCTGCAGCTACTGTACAAGTGCTCACAGTGTCAGGTATTGATGGTCTTAGTTTTCCAGGAGCGAGATTTGAAAACAGGCATCTAACAGTGGAAGTTGGACACAAAAAACTTTTTACTGATTCAGGCCATTGGTTTCCATCAGTTCTCGCAGCAAAAGACTTGGCCAACAGTGTGATCCAGATCCCTTCCTAGAGGTCAGTGTGAGCCTGCTCAGCATCACAGACTGCAGCTGGACAAACGGACACTAAAAAGAAGGGATTCTTTTTTAACCTGTCTGCTACCATTTGAAAATCAGAATCTCCATCGCACATGAAATTCTGCCACTTCCACATTCCTCTCCCTGCTGATCCAGAAGGAAAACATGACATTCTGAGATTTTTGAGATAAAGAGTATCTCTAAATTCAGTATATTTCATTTAAGTGAAGTAGACGTCTTTCTTCCTAATATAAATTGCATTGACTGAATAACATTAAATGAAACAAGTGAAAACACCAAATTGTGTTTTGACACAATGAAACTAAGCGAGCACCCTGGGTGAAATAATTACAGCCTGTCAACATGAATTGTTGAGAATATTCCTGCAGAACATTTCAATTTAAGAAAGCCTGCATGTTTGAAGGTGATGTTACCAGAAAAGGAATTACACCTGAATACCTACACCTGCCTCTCCAAATTCTAGCTTGAGTCTCTGAGTTAATTCAATCCTCATTAAGTGCAAAAGGAGGCCACTTACAGGAGCAATTAAAGGCCAGGACAAGTTTTTAAGTGCATTATTGTCTACTTGTAAGGACAAAGGTGAAAATGAAAAAGGTTAGGGCCGAGGGTTTTTCTTTGTAAAAGAATCAAAGCTTAGTGGTGGTTTTATTTAGCCATATACCTCCTAATTGGGAAGAATCCTGTATCAGCATCCCATTAATGCAAGATCATTTTCTCCCATGTTGTGGCATCTGCAGAATGTCTTGCACTTGCTTGTACTAAAGGTGGATCAAGTCCAAAATCTTGCGCATTTAGAATGAATGAAAAGCTGAGGCCAGCACAGATTGCCAAGAAACCTGGCCTCAGACTGGAATGGGAGTTTGGCAGACTCTGTTACCATGAGCTTGGTAACACAGCTCCATGAGCTTGATAACACAGCTCCATGAGCTTGGTTAGCAATCTGCTTACAGGCAATACAGAAGCGTAAAGAAGAGACGCCATTCCAACATGATTTAAAAATATATTGCCATCATCTTTATGGCCACAAGAGCCACAGTCTCTGCCACAGGCAGTGACAGCTCCAAACACTTAAATTTAACCTCAGTTGTCATAAAACGTGCAGGTCTGGTAAAGACATGGCTGATCAGTGTTCTTACCTTTTGCTTCAGTTGTAAAACCATCTGCTTTATTTGATGAAATTCCTTACAAGAGGCACAGCATGTCCCCAGTTTCGCCACATTTTCAGATTTCTCAGTAAGCCCAGCTGAAAGAAAGCAGTTTCCAATGAAAATATAAAGATCCGAAGTAAATAAATTCATACAGTGACTGCAAAAGCAACTTGAAAGTTGTTAGATTTCCTCAGACTGTGAAAAGAGGAGAGAAATTTGCTATTGCTAATACTTTGACTGTGAATTGCTATGTAAGCCTGAAAACCTTGCAGGGACAGCTCTGAGCTCATTTTTAAAGCAGCTGTTTCCAGTTAACGGTCCCCCAGGAATTTCTTTTTTTAATACCTGGAAGAGTTCACACCACTTCTTTTATCTTTGTGTTTAGGGTAGGCTAACCCTACAGATCTGAACTGATTTACGGTCCCCAAAGGGCAAATTTTCATATGGTATAAATTACAGTAAAATCCCTCACAATATGGTCATTTCATTCACTTCGCACAAACTGCTTTTTATCATCACAGGTTATTCCTCCATGTGATGAAATCAGACTGAGCAGAGACAGGGATTGAGATTAATGACAGGGATTTAAATCCATGCAAGAGAAAGGGTCACACCTGTTGATACTACGCATGAATGGGATCTTTTCAAGATTCCATTAAATGTTTCAAACTGTAAGAGATATCACAAATGTTTTTCTTGCCCTTTTCCCAGTGCCATAAACTGTGAAGCACTTCTGCATCACAAGCAAACAAGCATTGTTTTAACAGATGTCCACTTAAAGAGAAACATTAGGTGAGCTTTTTTGCTTTCACATATAGTTGTTGAGAAGCATCAAGTATACGGAGGCTCTATGTATGATGTATGACCTTCTACAGTGTTACCTGGAAGGGTTGTTAGACACCTTTGAACACCAACCTTTCAGAGCATGTCCTGTAATGGAAAAACTCTGCAGGTGCTCCTGGTTAAAGCCAGCAAATCTTCAAAATCTTCAAAAAGGATCAACTACAATGCACTTAGCTATTGTGTTTTACTTCTCTATTGAACATGCACTCTAATGTCCTTCACCTTTTCAGAAATATGCATTGATTTTGAAAACATCTGTGTCATTTTAAATGAAACCAGAAGTTTCTAATACTAAAGATATTGTCTAATACTTGACTTGAAATATTTGCAGGGTCCCATAAGGAATATTGCATCCCTCATACGGTCATCTATGGAAAATGAACTAAAGCACAGATTTATGAAAAACTGATTTGTTTGGTATGTTTAATCCATTGGATTTAATGCCATATAAGGTATGCTTGCTTTTAGAAGACAAAATTTTAGTTTTCTCCTAATCAGGTAGGAGCGGGCTGTAAGGGCAAGGTGCTGGAATGACCAGCAGCATTAATACTGTTGTCAGCACTGAACTGATCAGAAAATTAGGATGCAAAGGCTTGGGTTTTTTCCTACTCATCAAATGGCTGCTCCCATGGTTGCAGTCCAGTGGCATTACAATAATACACAATTTATTTAATGTTTTTATGGTAGTAAGCACACTGTTTGCGCTTCCCAGCCCTTCCTGATCATGCACAGCTTGGTAATATTTGAGCAGTTTTTCGTACGGTGCTCAGATGGCTCAAAGATTTAAGGCTGAGAAGTATGACTTGGGGTTTTCTAATGATCTCTGCGTAAGATGTAATAGAATTTCAGCAAATTGTTTCTGACTTCAAGACTGACCACAACACCTCCCAGACAGACTCCAGCCTTTATGTGAAGGTACCTGAACACACAGCATTTGCTGGTTTCCTTCCTCAAAGCAGTATTTCTAAGGCTAATCATTTTGCTTTTGATTCCTTCCAAAGACTATTTGGCCACGGACCTTTCTCTGATAAAGAGTCTGCCATGCAGAGGTTTTTTTATCCCTTAATAAGGAATTGATATGCTGTAATCAAGACATCTCTTGATATTTCTATAAGTTACGTTTCTCTTGACCACAAGTCAGTATTGTGACTCCCTCATGGAATTCTTCCTCCTGCTCCAATTTTTCAGCTTCCTTTAACAAAAAAAATCAGTGTTTTGACATGTACATTTTTGGACCTGTATAGGATTTATAGATGCACATATAAAGAGCCTTCAGAAAAATATGCCCCCCCCCCCCCTCCTCCCCCCCCTTTTCTTTTTTCCCAAACTCCAATAAATTTTGGGTTTGGTACTAGTCTTAACCAAAATCTCTTTTAATAGCTATCTTACCAAATGAGTTCTCTCATATTGTGTAAAGAAATTTTGCTGAAAACAACATACAATCATAGGGAGAAACTGCCAGAGCCTCTGCTATTTGAAACCTAATGCAATCCCTCTAGAATCAGTGGAATTATGTGTGGATTAAGAAGCAGTGAATTTGGCCTCGTGTTTCATTCTAAAATCCAGTTTATCTTCCAGAAGGATGTGGCACACGGGGCTGACAAGTATAGATAAAACAGGGCTGTAAAAATTCATGGAGATGAATGGGGGTGGGGTCAGCTATGGTTTAGGAAATATCATACCAGTGAGATTTCTTCAAATCCAGTTGGATTGACTTGTCGGAGGAAGAAGTCCAACAGCATCATATAAGCAAGCATGAGCTGCATCCCTGGAGAGAGGTGGAATCCCCCTAACTCATACCAGACAGAGGTGATGATTTGACCAGGAAAGAAGTCATTCATCAGACATTTGCTCTACCCCCATCTGATCCTGTATCAGGACCAAACTATGAACAAAGCCAGAATAAAGCGTGGATAAAGCCAGAAGCCACCTAGGACACGCAAGGGAGGGCAGGAAATGATTAGATGGAGCCACCCATGCACAGTGCAGAAACAGAGGTCACCCACCAGGGTCAGTTTGGCCAGCACTGAGCAAGACACTCTTACAGCCTGTTTCCATTGCACAGACCTATACCAGAATACGATTTATTTCAGAGAAGGCTTAAACCAGCCCCATTTCATGAAGGCTTTCTAAATCACAAAGTCTAGCTCATGTGTGACATTGCCATCCTGATGGGGGTCCTTTCATCTCAGTGAGACACCAGTGAGCCCCGTGGCACCTACCAGTGAGAGATCTGCTAGGGGGAGTGATGTGTTTTCTTTGCGTGTGCTCAAAGAGTCTACCTTGCTGATGCTGGAAGAGAAGGAGATACTGGCTGGGGAGAGCTCTGCAGGGAGCTGTGCCGCGGGCAGTCTTCACATGGAGACTGTTGAGTTGATCATCTGCGTTGCATTATCCAGGCTCAGCCTGCTGAGATGGTTTCATTTGCCTACTTCTGTGAGAAGAGTGTATTGTCTCTATCAAATGTGACATGTCTGTGGATGCAGGAAAAATGCTCCCTATTCTTGTGCCTGCTAATAGACCCGAAGCTCTTGGTCAAGCCCTGTTACAGAGCCAAAAAGTGCCTGGATTGCATCCTTGAGGCACGGCGCAATGAAAACGTGACTAGTATCTCCTGGAAAATACGTGAAATGGTTAGAGCTGGAGAAGTGGTACGTATGTTTTCATGTCTCTCACACTAAACGTTAAAATAAAATTGAAGTGTTCCATCTACGAAGAAAAGCAAATAATCGATTTATTAGGAAGTGATTCCAGCATGGATGTGGTGCTCACCAGAGCGGTGCAGGGCTAGGGCTGACCACGGGGTGGTGCATCGCGACAGCCGGTCGCTCTCGGCTGCCCAAAGCTTTTTCTTCCTGATGAGTTACGCACATGAACCCCGTCAAACAGCGATGACCAGATCCTCCTGAATTTGTCCCAGAGGCCTGGCAATTAGTAACAGTGACTTGGATTATAGCGGGGTAACAGAGCGGAAAGCGGTCTCCTGTCTTCACAACGCTGGTTTGGGAAATGTCTTGAAAGATGGGCAGTATTTTTGTTCCAGATTAACTACTGAAACTGACATTTTTATGTGCCGTGCATATTCAGTGTAAAATTGGTGCTTTTCAAATATCAGAACTATTTTCACAGCCTTGAATATTTTGCATGGTTGGTTATCCTGAATGCTGTGGACACTGCTTTGTCTAGTAATTTGAATTAGCCAGCTGAAAAGTTAACTAGAAAAACTATTTGCAAGGGGATTATATAGGTTATTTCTCTTTCCTTTACAATTTCCACACACTTACAGGGAAAAAAAAAATTGAAAAACTAAATTAAAATTAATGAACACGTTTTCAGAGGAAAACCAAATTATAAATTGCTCTCGCCATCCAACAGGATTTGAAGCACCCTGAAAGTAACTGTTAGGCATTAATTGACGAACCTATGGTAAATCATCATTCATTAAAAGAGGGGATTTTGGTGGGGTTTTGAGTTGTTTGGTTGTTCTTTTTTTTTTTCCCAGACCACAGGTTGTTTTCTTCCTCCTTTCTTTTCAAATTGTCGTATCAGTTTTAATCTGCAGTACTCTGAATGCTGCAACTTAATAACTGGGATGAGGTCAAAAACCTTAAAATCATTTATGCACAGCACACACATGTACTTGGAAACCAACAGTGAAAATCAAGGACAAGGCTTCACTTCTACCCGTTTCCCATCACAAATTATTTTCATTACAAAAAAGTCACAAGACACACAGACTAATTGCAGGTCAGCAGAATTCAGTGTTACTCAGTGTAATTTAGCAACCGATTTAAGCAAGTCTTGGAAAGTGTGTTGAATCCTCAGGCACACCTTCTCTGAGCCACTTAGTGCCCAGAAGCACTAACCATCCAACCCAGGGCCATTTGCTAATCTCAAGTATAGGCATGTACATACAAATTGAAGTTACTGAAATTAATTTAATAACAGGTTAAATTAATGAAGTCTTGTAAGTGTATTTTTTTTCCCTTTGTTTCCTGAGCTCTGGACCACAAACTAGGTATAATCCAGGTTGGTAAAGGAGCAAAATATGGCTTTTAGCAGATGGATCCAGCAGAACTGTCTAACTGAAGCTGTAAAGGCAAGTTTCACTGTTCAGCCACTCTGTCTCTCTGGGGAAGACACGTTCCACATCCTTCAATGTACTCGCACTCTATAGATGGGGTTACTAATGTACTGCTCTGTGTGTGCTGCTCATAAACTGGGGAGGAGGAGAGCATGCAGCAGGACTGCTCCATAGGGGCTTGGCTGCCCAGCGAACAGCCCAGACTCTGCAGGACCATCAACTACATCCCAGGTTCCCAGGTTCAGACCCCCAGCTCTAAGTATAGCATAAGGAGCGGTTCCTTTTTATGACAGATCAACCTTTTAGATGGCCCTTTGGCCCAGAACCTTTAATCCCCACTAGCATATACCTCTATCTCCTTTGGTGCATGTCTTGCCATCCTCCTCCCGCGTATAGCCTTCGTGACACTCGCACCTGTAGCTGCCTATGGTGTTGACACAGATCTGAGAGCACAGGGTCCCATTGCTTGTGGCACATTCATCTATATCTGGAGAGGAGGAAGAATCATAGAATCACAGGCTCATAGGACAGAATGTTTTGGGTTAGAAGGGACCTTAAACATCATCTAGTTCCAATGCCCTGCCATGGGCTGGGATGCCTTCCACTAGAGCAGGTTGCTCCAAGCCCTGTCCAACCCGGCCTTGAGCACTGCCAGGGATGGGGCAGCCACAAGAGTTCAAAATGCTCCAAAGCCAGAGGTTTCACACCTCAAATACAACAAAAGACTTCCTCCAAAGGTATCAGGAGATTTCATGGTTTAAATATATGAGTAATTGCAGCACTGCTGGTGCATTGGGCTTGAGCTCTATGCAAACTGCACATTTATTATTAACGCACCTGACATTTTATCAGTGAACATCTCTTGACCACTTCTTTGCATTGAAAAGCTCACAAGCAAAGCTTGGTCCTGCAGATCTTGGTTCCCTGGCACAACAAAGGCAGGTCAGACTAGCCACACAATGACCACATGTGAACGGTCAGTTCTGAATTACATAGTGGCTACCTGAATCAAACCACAAGGATTTATTTTCATAATTAGGCACAGTTATAGTGCTTTGAGGGATACTGTTAGCATCATGTCCCTTGTCTAAGGCTAAAAACCCAAACCTGCAGGAGGAATTAATAAAGGGAATTACATCAGCCCAACATTCCAAAGTGTTTGGTTGCATATGTCTCATTTTAGGTATTACCTACTAATAATTTCAGGGGGATTTAGATCTCTTAGGTCTAGAACCAATCCTTAACATAATTAAAACATATTTCTTCTGTCATAGTAATGAAATAAGAAAGATTTCTGATCTAAACTGACTCCTAAAAGACCTGAGGGAGCAGAATGCATTAGTAAGTAGAGATGAGCTAAACACGCACTTCTACCTACCCAGGCAATAAGGCTTTTCTCTGTTCCTGTGCCTCTCCCGATCATAGCGATACCCAGGATAACAAGTGCATAAGACTCGCCCAAAGTTATCTGTGCACTGCTGTTCACAGGGAGCTTCAGCACAGACATCATAGTCTGGAGAGAGAAAAACATGGTTAGGAAAAATACTGGTGGCAGTAGCTAGATGATACTTAGACAGTAAAATTGTAATTGCTATCACAGCTTTACAGCAGTTGGACTGTTTCTGAAAGCTGGATTTTAAGCAAGGGTCACTGTCCCAGTTTGTAGAATTTAAGAATTCTTTTCACAGAAATATCAAATTACCTAAAAATTGTTTTGCTGTTTTATCGCACTATTTTTTAGGTGCTGATAGCAACATTTTGTACGCCGAATACTGTGGGACACTGTGAAGCTAACTGCCAAATCCAGGCATAAAGTATGTTATAAAGAAAACTTAATTAAAATTGCACTCTAATTATTCAAAGCCAGATATAACCCTTCTAGCAAAAAACACATTGTTACAAAACCATCATCACTCTTCATAATAGCAACGCGAAGATTAGGGTATGGTAAAGTCACTGGCAAGGCTTGTCAGTGAAATCCTAAAACACTCAAGTCCCCATTTGAAACCCGAAGGAGGGAGAATCTGTTTCTGATTTCAGTGCTATGCAGCAGCAGATGTGAAGTCCAACGAAGACACCAGAGCAAACCAGGGTCTGATCTGCATCCCTGCCCTGCCAAGGGCTGGATCTGTCCGCTGGTGTCAGGCTGGTGGTGCGGTTGAGGAGAGATGGCTCTGGGTCCCTGGCTGTGGGTCCAAGGGGTTTGCAGTGCCAGGAGAAGAGAGGAGCAGGAGCAGCATCTAGTGTCAAAACCAGCTCAAGCAAACCCTGATGGAAGTCAGGTTTTATGCCAAAGCAAGTGGCAGTTTCTGAGATGATTTCAGAGGAACATCATCCTGTACACAGCATCCAGGTGGCTGTCACTGTGACCCTTCAGTGACTGGATACTAGGGAGTCATAGCAGAAATATGCTGTCCATGTTCCAGACCAAATACATCTAAACCAAAGTGTTTCAACTGAGTCCCCAGCAACGCACTGTTTCCATATTTACAGTATAAAATGATTAAAACCCAAACTCATTAGTGACTCACAGTAATGACTAGCAGACGTCCCTGGGTATGATGATTTTTCCAAACAATTAAAATGAACTGGTAGACAGTAAAGCAAGTGAAACCACATTTGCATGTTGCACAAATTATTTGCATATTTCACAAATTATATGGAGCACACACATGGCACTGAGGGTAAAAGTGACAATGTGCCAAGGTACAGAAGAGCACCAACGCTTAACAAGCTGCTGTACGTCACACCAGAGCCCTTTAGACCAAAAACTACTATTGTAATGGTGCCAAACATTTCCTCCCTTGTGCTTGTCACCTTTTGAATAGCAGGCATCCTTTCTTTCCTTCTTATTTCACAACTGTGTTAACACTTGAAGCCTGCCTGTAGTGCTGTGATGGTGAATGGCAGTGCCAGGACACCCAGCAGGAACTAGGGTCATGCAGTGCACAGCCTTGCTCAAGTGTGGAAGGAAAACACAGCCCTTGCCTTCAAACATGGTCAGCCTTGGCTAGTTCGGGCTTTTTAGGTGATGCTAGGGTTGTAAACTCCCATTACATTTGGCACTACTAAATAATCCTGAATATAAAGTGGGTATTAGTGGTGTTTTTCCTGGGTGCGGTTGCAATTTTAATTTTCCACTGAAATAAAATCAGATGGAGAACAGGCTAGTGTGCTGAGCACCAAGGTGAACATGCCTGCTCCTTAACCAGCGTGCCCGTGCAGATGCTGGATTTGGCTTGTGCCATGTTCTGCCTATTCAGAGTGGATGCAAAATGAGCTCTGTCCTCCCTGTGCTTCAATGAATAGCTGTGCCTTAATAAATTATAAACAACAGTGCTGGAAGGGACAGTCTCCCACCGCAAGCAGGATTAACTATGTGTAAACCTTTCCTAATAGACATTTGTCTAGCCTGTACCTAGAAACCCCTGAGGGCTGGAGATGCCCCTCCATGCAGTCTATTACCAAGATTGAATGTCCCTGCAGATAGAAAGCCTTTTACTCATATCTAATCCAAACTCCCCTTGCAGCCATTTAAGCCCATTATTTTTGTCCTGTTCTTCTTGACCATGAAGTACGGTTTACTTTCCCCTTGCAGCAAGTTTCCACATACCTAAAAACTGTTATCATGTTTCCCCTCACCCTCATTTCTTCTAGACTAAACAATGCCAATGCTTTTGAATTGCTTCTCTTCTGCTATATTTCATCTAACTAGACATTAAATGGCTTTCACTTCCACCTTAATTTACTTTTATACAAAGATAGGGAAGGGTCCAAGAAGTGGAGATCTCCCTGCTTGTGGTTGCCAAGGAGTCAACCCAAATCAGACAATGGTTATGGGCAGGTCCCACATCACAGAGCTGTGTGTCCCCAGGGCTTTGGTCCCAGGTGACACAACTCCTTCAGGAATAGTCCTCACAAGTGGGATGAAACTTGGCAAAAGCTGCTTCGCTATTTCTGTATGCTATACAGAACTGAGGATGCACATGCCCTTCCATGGTCAAGCCCCTTGTCTGCCAGCCCAGGCTGAGAAATGTGGTTTGTGGATGAATCAAAGCCACACGGTGAGCATCAGGCTGTTCCAGACTTTAGGAAAATACAAAAAAAACTGGAGCAGAACAACAAATGTCTTTGTATATTTCAGTGAACTCAGGAACGACAGCACAGCACCTGAAGTTGTACCAAGGAAATTTCTGAAATAGCATTAGTGAGGGAAGAATAGATCTGATTAGTGTTTGCCTGCCATAAACTGTACCTAATCCACAGCCAAGAAACTCAAGTAACAAACCAGTGGCAGGGATGGTGTTCTCCAAAAGAAGCTGTTTCAGACTACATCTGTCCCTGCTTTACCCTCAGTGGCACCAGAAGACAGGACTTGGTTGGAGCTATGAGTCTCTAGAGCAAAGAAGATCATTCAGGAGAAAAGGATGAGGAGCTACTTTTTGACCTGCTTCACTGGTCAGGTGGAGAAGGAAGAGATGCTATAAGGGGAATCAGCCACACAAAGCAAACTCCCCTTCAGGTTTCCTGAAGAGCGTTGTCCTCTGCTCCTGCAGCTGAAGCCCAGAGTGAGAAGGTGAGTCCAAAGCAAATGAAACGCAGAACCTGGGGCATGGGCTCATACTGGACTGCACTGATTTCTGTTGCTTTTCAAGAGCAGACAAGAAATAACAGGTCAGAAACTGAAGATGGTCATGGGCAGACACAATCCTTTGGGAGTCTGTTTAAATAACAGCTGTCCAAGACGGATATCACTGTCTTCCTGAAGCAGCTGAAAGAGGGTGGACAAGGGAGGGTCTATCCGTATCCCAAAACCTCCTCTTTGCAGCCACTGCTATATCACAGAGAAGACAGGGCTGGAGCTACTTCTCACATCTTTGACTTGCCAGTACTGGATTGAAAGGTGCAGATGTGCTCTAATAAGCTCACATCTGTAATATATTTATGTGGCTGTGTCGAGATATGCATTTCATACAGCTACTCTTCAAGAATATGCCAAAACAATGTGTGAAGAGCCAAGTAATGTCTTGTAACGGACTAAGTGAAATGAGTGCTTCACTGAATCGTGTTTCTCATCCGAGATCATCTCAGATGTTATAGTAATTGCTGTGGCCTCTGAACTTCAAGGCAAAATATAGATTGAGCTGAAAAAGGGTGAAAGGAGGTATGAGAGGAAAGAAGCCAGAAGAGAAATTCAATTAGTGGCAGAAAACTCAGGTTACTAAGATGCAATTCACAGACAGGATTAAGCAAATTCAGTGGGTACATAATAAAAGCTGCTTTCATAATCACCTCAAGTCTCAAGAGATGAAAATTAGGAGCCTAAAATAATATATTGCCATGGCTCTCATTTTATTTTTGTTCCTATCATTTCTCCTGCTGTACCCATTGTATTTAGTGAATAGCCAGCGTATAAAATGGTTACAATCCATAGGAAAAATGGAGGGCAGAGTGTAGAGTCCTGGCTTCTTTCCACCCTGAAAGGAGGGCTTCTGTCTCCTATGCACACAACTGCCTTGCACAACAAAGTACAACTGCCTCCTCCAAGTGTCTGTCTCACTCTGGAGCTGCCGTCTCATGCCACACACACTGAAGTGAAACTCACTGCAAAACCACATCTTGGAGCATCAATTTCACCCAAACCCTTCCCAGCTCCCCAGGGCTTGGGTGGGTACTGTGAGCTCTTTCTTTGCAAGGAAACAGCAAATCCATAATTCCTGTTATGAGAAAATGTGGAGTTTATTTTTGTCTTTTTTGTTGTTTTTTTTTTTTGTCTTTTTTTTTTTTAATTTTTGTTCTCCCAACCAGTGTTCTAGTGTTTCCAGCCAGCAGCAAAGAAGATGCAAATTATAAAAAACAAAAGCAGCAGGATCAGCGTTTGGGTTATAATCCCTGTTGGCTGGAGACTGTAAGTCAAAAACCAACTGACTCTCTCCGGTATGTTAATTTGTCCCTTTTCTTTTCAAAACATCACCATCCCAAACTGGCAAAACTCTCAGGTCAACTCGAGGTTTTCCATGTGTCATCAAATAGAAGGATGTATTACCATAAACCAACCTTTTAACCTGGTTTTTGGAGAAAACATGGTTTATTGGCTTGTTATCTCTGGCCATTTGCTTCTGCGTGACAGCTCCTATTTCTATGGCTTCAGAGCCAATTTCATGCAAATCAAGCAAAGCAATCAGAATGATTGAAGAAGTCCCATTGCCACTGCTCACGTGAAGCTGTTGGCTGGGTGGACTTGACAAGGTTAAGGCAGGCAGAGCTCAGCCTTTTCCTACATGAGATCTCATTGCAACAGCCTCTGTGCCCATGACCAGGAGAAGTGATAGAAAAGTAATGCTGTTTGATGATGCTGTCCCCTCACTGACATCTTTGGGAAATGGATAACTAACAGCAGGACTAACTTAGTCACCCATTTCCTGTTCAATTACAAGCCAAATCAGCTGTTGTAGATTCAAGGATTACATGGAGAGAGCCATCAGACAGGAAACGTGTGCTCCTGGGTGCACAGAGCACTCCTGCATGCCTAACCAAGAGCAGAATGCAGCCCTTTGTTTGCAGCAGTTTGTGGGACAAGATCTGTGTAGCCATGTGTACTTAGGGGAGGATCAATGCTAAGGAAAACTTCTGGAAGATACTGATCTTTTTATTTTCCCACCAATTTCTTGGAAACAGCTCCCGCACTGACACGAGATACGTTTGAGCCTGTGGTTATATTAGGATGCTCTTCCAAACTGGCAGTGCTGAGAAGAGGGCAAAGGGGAAAGACAAATGCAGAGGGACAGGACAGATAAGAACAGTGAAATTACATACCTTCAGGGATGCACTGTCCAAGAACAAACTTATAACCCTTACAGCATTTTTTCCTGAAAAACAATAAAATAAATAAATGAATAAATAAATACATTGTCTAAAGGTTGATGCTGCCTTTAGAAACAGTCATGACTATATCATGTATGTGATGAATGAAATAAGATGAGGATCCTGAGCTTCACAGTTGGAGATAACTCAGCATTAAAGAATGCAACATGGAAACACACCATTCAGTCCATGAGGCATTTTAAATGATGGCATGACTACCCAACTCAGGAGCCTGGGGCTGAGTAGCCAATGCGGACACACTCAGCATCCCAAGTATTTTCTGAAAACCCAGCTCCCTTGTGTTGAAAGGATTCAGGACTCCTCAGTGCTGTCCATACACACAGCTCAGGTCACAATTTTCATGATATGGTGAAGGGTGTTTTCAAACATCCATCATTACAATGTAAACTTGCAGAAAAGGTAATTTTCAGCAAGGAGTGCACTCAAGATAAATGTTATCAGTAATTTCTCATTGTTTGATTAACCTGGAAGGTGGTAAGTGAAATATATCGGGTATTTCAACTGGAGCAAGGGAAAGTATCTTATACAGGCAGGCAGACACAACTGCAGTGAAGAGTCAATAGGCCAAGTACTCTCTATGTGCCTATGATACGAACAAAGTGCTGAGAAATTAATGTTTCTTACACATTGGCCTCTAATGACATTCAGATATTCAGCTGCACCTGCCTTCTAGACAGCAAATCACATCAAGTCACCAGGACTCCCAGTAGTGCTAAGAAGCCTTTACCAATGGCTGTGTCCCTTATCACTCTGAGAGCTACTCACTGCAGGGATCTGGTGACTTTAAAAGGGTCCCACGATAGTGACTACCAGGCACCAGGACTGCTGCAAGAGAAGGAAACTGCTGTTCGGTGCACTATTTTATCAAGTTTATGTGAGTCTGAGGGGAAAATAACCCTGTAATTTACAAATTCACAGTTTTTCATGCCCCATTGATATGCTCAAATATCTGCAAAACTGGGAAACCATCCATTTGGTCTTATCCTTTAATTCAATAACTGATGCAGAAGAGTGCTAAAGGCATGGCAGTCATGACACAACACTCCCCTGGACAACACGCAGCCATCACAAATCATCATTAAGTTGAATTTAAATCAACTATCAGTTGCAAATGACCACTTTAAACAAACAGTGCATCACTCCAAACTATGTAAAAACAAACTTTGGCTCCGTATTTTACCCTTTTCCAAAGATTAGCCAGAATATAAATTATACTTAATGAAGGTTGAACATCTGAAGAGGAAGCTTTGCTTTGTTATGCAAACAACTGGTCCCTCATTAGACTTTTCTCCAAACACTGCTGTGAAGTTTTATCTGCAAGACTAACAAATGCAGGAGGAATGAGTTCAAAGGTGCATCGGGGAGGTTGTTCATATGCTGCAAGCCATGCCGATGGCTTTCCAAGTGCACATTCATCTCCTCCTGTCTGAGGAAGAAAGAAGGTTGATAAAGCTTTGCTTGTAGCTGCTCTTCAGAGGAAGATACAGCCTGGATTGAGAGAGAGCAGAGATGGGAAAGGAGAGGAGGGCATCCCAGCCATGAGATGCTGACCTACAGGGTTATGCCAGCCAAAACTAACCAGAAAGAGGAAGCAGTAGCTTTCATCCCTGAGAATTCCTGCTTAATTTTCAGGCTTAGGACCCTTAGGACTCCCACTCTTGGACTGGCTTGTGGCAGCAGATGCCAACCTCAGCTGGCACAGCCTGTGCCTGGGTAAAGACTTGCCTGCTGGGAACCTTGTAGGAGCTGCTTCTCTCCTCTCAACTCGCCCAGCAATGGCTTTTGGCTGAACTTGTTGGCTTTCCTGTGGATACGCTGTGGTTTTATCTTCCTTCCTGGATTCTCCTGATAGCCAAACCACTTGTCCTGATCAAACCCCTCTCCCACAGCCGCACAATAAGAACCCACCGCACACTGAGGTACAGCCATTAAATACTGCCCTGGCACCCTGAAGCAAGCACAGCCTTGTGTAGCATCGCAAGGGGTTGGTCCAATTAAAGATAGAGGAAAATCGTACTGCCCTTGCACATATCCAAAGCCCATGCTTGGAATCCATCTCTTGAGTTCCACAGGGAGATATTTTTGACACATCACTTCCTTGTTTTCAGTCTTCCTTTCAATTTTTGATGAATTTTCCCAGAGTTTACTGGAAAGGAGATTTGGAAATATTTTCCCTAAACACCCAAAGATTTTTCCACATCATGAATGCTTTAAATCACACCTAAAGATGCGGTTTAGAGGCTCTGCTTTCAGTATCACACACCAGAAACCAATTTGCATGATGATCGTTTCCCAGTTCCACATTACAGATCTCTGTATTAGTGCAGCCTTTGCTCAACAACAAGCTTCAGCCATGAACACGATTTTGCCACAGAAACTGTTACTTTAGGGTTAATCCAGAGGAAATACAATACGACAATACATGTTTCTCTGAACATTACAGTGCAACCCTGGGATCCGTGCGTGCTCTAGCTTTTCACGTTTTTAAGTCTGTCAAAATGATGGATACATGAGTTGATCATTAGCAAAGGCATTTTAATAGCAATATTCATTTCCAGACATCCAGCTCCAGATTGACATGTCTAATCAACATTGCGCAGCAGCGATCTTGTTATACATAGTGAGAGGTAAGAGGGGGTCCCCACTGGTAATTTTAGCTACTGAATAACTTTCAGCGAGGCAGTTAGCTACGCAGCTGTACATGTGAGCGTGCATTGAACACCAACTAATGCACAGCTGTGTGAGCTCAGCCGCTAAAATCTATGTGGAAATTGAGCTGACGTATTAACTTTAAATCTGGTTTCCAAAAGGAGAATCTTCTTGCAGACTTTTAATAGGGTGCATCAGCTATTAAAAGTAGAGAAACTTCTGATTCTCATGAAGTCTTCACTCAAGAACATGCACAAGCCCAAATTCCCAGAGGGTTTTGAGCAGCATGATTTTGATCACTGCAATGTCTAGCTTTTGTGTTACCTGTAGAAAAAGCCACAGTGATAGGGACTCTCTCAAAGCAAAGTCACCCCTTTTATCTGACAGGACCTGATTGAAAAGCAGGGAGGTGCTGAGCTACTCCCCTCTGCTCTGGATGTTGAGGTGCTCCTGGATCACTGAATGTCAGAAGATGGAATTTAGGGTCAAACCTTTGATACTAGTAAACACCAGGCAAGCAGCTGTGGCAGGCTTTTGTGGCCCATCACCTTGCAGACTGAAGGGAGCACCCCCATGTCCCATCGCCAGCAGGACCCCCTGTGCCCGTCACATAGCAGTGAACCAGCACAGCACTCCCTGCCCCATCTTGCAAAGCAAGGCTGCTTGATAGCATCGCCCCAGACAGGCAGGAGGAAAGGTAAGATGCAAGGAATGTGGCTTAATTAAGCCACCTCTTTATTAAGTTTGCTTATCTGGCAGCTATCAGCAGTAACTCATCCCGTGTGGACCATGTTTTTTTTTCCCATAATTGTTTCCACCTGGTGTAGAGCTGCCATCACCCCTAGCCCTCCTGCTCTGCACAAGGACACTGTGGAGAGACTGGGGCATGCTGAACCTGTACAACACTGCTGTGCCAGAGGGAAGGGAGTGATCCAGGGTCCTACAGCAGCTGAAATGCTTTGGAAATGCAAGCAACAACAGGATAAACATTTAAGGTGATAATTAACCTGTGAATGTCTGCAGGAACACGACAGCACCTTGGGCTGTGGCAACAATTGGTTCGGAGCTGCCTGATGTGTATTGGGGTTTTGGTTAACTTGAGCAAACCTGGGACACTTAAAACCTTACCATGACGATTATTTTGAAGAAGACACGATGACCATTTGCTGTTTGAAAAAAGGGAAGGGAAAGGGAAAATGCGAAGTGAAATGCGAAAAAAGAAAAGTTTTATACTGGTTTGAGGTGAACGTAACACGTTAAGGAAACTCTTGCTAAGGATATTAAAAGTGGAAACAAGAGTCCACTCTATGAAATATTTGCCTCCTAGGAGCAAAGCAGATACAGAAATCTCTACACTGAGTCAGAAAGTGAGTTCTTAGGATAAAATATGGGCCTTTTTTATAGGTCAGCTGATGCCTGATCTTCATTCATTGCAAAATGCAGCAACTCCACAGGTGGTCGGGCAGGTCAAATCCTTCCTCTCCAACAATGTTATTTCTAACCCATGAATGTCAGAAGAGTTGCACTTCGGGGGGCATAAGAGCTGCTTAACATTTTATGTGGGTTTAGATACAACAATACTGTTATCCCAGGTCAGTGATGGTAGAAAGTAATAATACAGTTGAGTGCATGTATGTAATAATAATAATAATAATAAAAACTCTCCTATTGAGAAAAGACAGAAGAAAAAATTAATCAGATTTCTTCAATGTCATAACCTGAACTCAGATGACTTGTGCCGTATCTTGAAGACCTGAGTCAGCAAAGGGCATGGCATGGCTGTGTTTAACTGCACAAAGGGGTCTTTGTTAGACTGGCTCCTCATTGTGCCTGCCCAGTATTTCTGTTTGATCACCCTGACTTTGAGAAATACACAGTACAGCAAAAATGCAAATGTAAAATACAGCAATTAACTTCCAAAAATAATTGGAGAGCAATGAAAGCAGGCCAACAAGGTACATTAGAAAAAAAAACAAAACAAAACTAAAAAACCCACCTCCAACTGTTGTTTTTCTCATATTCTATATAAAATCTAAATGAGGGACAGGTCTGTCTGCCAAAGCATGCACAGACAAAGCCCATCTGCAGCACAATGTGTTAAGGAAGCAGCTCAGTAGCTGTGAACAGTTTCACGGTAATTCACATGGAGAGAAGATTTATGGCAACATGGTGTAAAACTGAAGCAATGCTTTTTTTGTTTGCCTTTCCGTGGGATACATACCGAAATCTTGAGTAAGAGAGGATGGCCTCCCTGCAGACACTTGCTCAGCATACACTTTGCCATGATTTCCGCTATTTTCACAGTTTTGTAAAGAGGTAATTTATGTTCACACTG